TATGACATGGACTTGACTGAAAATTCAGACACCTGAAGGTCATTGTTAACGAAGATAGGCCCTCCACGTTCCAGGTTCCAATCCAGAGTGCAGTGTTTGTTGTCATAGGCATCTGGTTTTGAAGAGTTAAAAAGGTTATTCTAAACCACGTGGTACGATAAACAACAGCGCATGAAACCCTACAATTTTACCTTTCATTTTGAATATTTAACGTGGTTGGATGGGAAATGAGCACTTTGGGTTTCTTAAAGTCGTTTCTATGAAAGTTCTAACCATTTTTTCCGTTCAGAGTTTTATTGAAAATAATTGACTTGCTTTTACTCCTAAATCAGCAAAAATTCTCAGCAAAAATATAGCAATTAGATATATTGCAGAAACTTTCACTGTGTATTCAAAATTTCAACCCTCTAAGTTTCATTTTTTGTCAAGTTCAGTCTCATTATCTTGCAGTTTTAATCTTAGTGATCTGCAAACAGGACCCTATTTCAACAACTCTAAAGCTGGATTTGTCCTAATTAGATGGCAGCTTGATTCCAAAACTCAGGCTATATTTTAATTTACTAGGTCTTTGTGTAGGGATGTTAACTATATCAATGACAAGATTTTGGCTAGTGCGCGTGGACAAATACGCGTTAACAGCATAATAAAAGAGAAACACCCTAGTGAGGGTGAGCTTTCACTGCTCAAGCATTTCATGAGTACTTTCTAACAACCTACGATTAGCTTCTGAGCTAGGTATTCAGGTAGAAATGAATTTCATTGACGTCACATTAAGTAATATCATATTCAATGCTTGATTGATCGAACAAGTCGGCTGGATATCATTAATTTTCAACTTCCATCCCGCTTTGAATATGAATTTATTGACGTCTCTAATACATACCTACGCCGCTAGCAGGCCGAACTCATTAATTTTTCATGAAAGTCCAAATTTTCATATCCAATTAACATAGTGTTTCTTGTTTCATGTACAAAATAATGTCTTTTTATCAATAGCCGGCTCCCTTCAAGTTGTCAGTGTGGTGTGGTATTTATAGTTACGTGAATAAGCATATTTATGATTACTTTAGTAAACAAGGCTCATTCAGATTCTCGTTATTTGCAGGTAACGACCTTAGTGCAAAGTTCAAACCAAACATTTGAAACTTTCAACTCCAAACTCCAAAGAGTAAAAACAAGCAAATTTAGGCCATTGCGTCAAATTCATGTATATTGTTGCAGTAAAGCTCATGATAAGGGGAGGTGAGGGGAGGGGTGGGGAGAAAAGGGGAAGGGAGAGAAGAGGAGGGAAGGGGGGTTAACCCTTCCTTAAACAGGTCAGTGTGTGTTTGGTTGGGCAATTTGCTTACGTGGCAATGTAAATTTAACCTTTACTTATTATTGGTTTTCCATTAATGAGCAATTTCCATTAGCCTTTAAGAGTCGGTGAACTGTTTGAATGATTTCATATACACAACAAAGAATCTTTATAGAAATGCAAGTATATTATGTCATAATGTCAGATGATGCAGCATTTGGTGTTGTCTTTGGTGTGGCTTCCAGACGCTCCCTACAGCACAGTCCCCTTTCTAACTTTTAGGACCGTATCCCTGTGTCTATACAAATTGTAATAGCTTTTGTTTAAAATGAAGTAGTGAGTCTATTTGACGTATGCTGCCAAGAAGATCGTTGTAAATCTCGGAACTTTGAAACAACTGGCAACTGCCACATTCTGAAATGGCCACTTTTCGATACGAACTGTTTGTTTTAAATAAAGAGCAACGCCTCTATAAAAGGATGAATCAATGACAAAATATTGACTTGCTAGCTACTTACAAAGTCTGATATCCATCTGGCATCTTTGTTGATCGAATGGAAAATTTCGAAGGTCCATTGGACAATAAATAGTCTGTGAGGCGCTGTAGTAAAGAGATGGTGTGATTAAATCTCTTTGTTCTATGTTGCAAAGTACAAATGCAAACTTTATTATACCTAGCTATCTTTGTCTTGTTTATACTAACACTCTTTTCTTAGTTTGGTAGTAGCTATCACGTTTCTTTTCAAGCAAAAACAAGCCAATCATTTTCAATCAGAAAGATAAAATTAGCTTAAGATCAGAAACTTAAATATATTTAAAAAGCATAGTGCAAAAAAGCATGGTGCAAAATTACTTATATGATAAACATACTCAAATGTCAGATTCTTGATAAAAATTGAACATGGATGTAGAACCTGTATACAATAAACTCCATAACAACTGAAGCTCTTTTAGTCTTTACAAACAATTCAACAGATCACTATTAAAAAAAAACATGTAATTCTCATGAAAATAAAAACAGTGACACAAACCCACGACTTAGAAATATTTCTCCCCCATGATGAATGTGTAAGGCAGTGTTTGGCTTCATAAGATCATGCCATTTGCCTTTCTTTGCAGCTGGGAAGTAGACTTCAGGCACCCAGATATCTTTGAAGGCCTCGATTCCAAATGCTTTCCATTCAGAACGATTTAAAGAAAGATCAAGTCTGTGATCTCTCCAGAATTGTCGAACAAACAAATTGACATCCATATGCTGTTTGCAAAAAAAATTTTCGAATTTTAAGTAGATTGATTAAATTAATGTTCATAATTTGTTGCGGTATGACATGATATGAAATGTAGAATAGTATATGTTATGAATTATATATCATTGTTGTAGAATATGTATGCTATAATATGATACAAGAAGATAAAGGAAGCAACTTTTTAAACATAGAAATATGCAAGAAATATGATGTAATAAAACAGTATGTACTGAAATATAACAAGTATTTTATTGTATAACGTGCTATCATACTTTGAAATATGAAAAATATTTAATATAGCATGTTAGAATGTAGTATGGTATGATATAATCTTTTGTCGGCAGTGCCCTTGGCGTAAGGGATGCTTAGGGAGGCTTAGAACGGATCCTGCCCGCTTGCTTTATTGAGATAGAAATGCCCGAATGAAACCTGAAATGCAATAAACTTTGCCTGATTAGAGGGGTGCCAGCCCCCCAGCCCCCGGCACCTATGTCTCTCACGCCTAGATTATTACTACTTAACTAACAGTATTCAGCCTTGCACTAAAATTAGCTTGGTATAATGACACTACGATATTGTTTTGGAAGTGTTGACAAAGCCTGCATTTTATTACTCAATTATAGTGCCAATTCTACAATGTTTTGACTATAATGTCAATATTGCTATCATCATACTTTCTTACCATATAATATCTTTTAATAGGAACCATATCGACGACATAAAACTGCATCGAAACATTAACAGGTTCACCTATTTAGAAAGATAGAGTTAAATGACAGTCTGTTAAAGTGATATTGATGGCGAAAGTGACAGTGACAGTGAAAGTGACAGTGACAGTGACAGCGAAAGAGGCAGTGACCATGCCAGTGACCGTCGAGTGGCAGTGGCAGTGGCAGTGACCGTGGCAATAATAGTGGCATGGACATAGACCAGTGACCGTGGCATGGACGATTGCGATTGACGTTGGCCAGTGCAGTGCAGTGGCGTGCCAGTGCATGGAATGACCGTGGCAAGTGGACAGACCAGTGATAAGTGACAGTGAAAGTGAACTATGTGACAGTGACAAGATCAGTGACCTTGGCAGTGACCAGTGCAGTGACGGGCGTGACATGCGAGTTGGCCAGTGGCAGTGGCAGTGACAGTGACCTGGCAGTGACATGATCATGAAAGGTTACAGTGACAGGTGACTACTGACAGTGATAGCGACAGTGACAGTGATAGCTGACAGTGACAGTGTACAGTATCAGCTAAAAGTAACCAGTGACAGTGACGTGACAGCACACGTTATTCTATTAAGTTATGTCTAATCTAAAATTTACTCATTTATATGTAAATTTTTGGATTAAATGATGGAGCATCAAAAAGCTAAGGCAATTAAAATAGATTTTTATACTCATTCAATAACATTAGTAAAAGACTAATTATTTTGATGAAGAATTGTATATGTTTCATTAAAATCTCCTTTTCTGAAATACTATAACTAGGCTACATAAGAAATCTATACATCTTTTTCGCAAAACCCATAGAGTATAGCGAAAAATGTTTACTTAACAACGGCAACTAATTGTCAATTGGAACTAGTATCAATAATATCGTGATTGCTATTACTAGATATTCTGTTAGCAGATTTTTCTATTGATAATTCAATATGAATAACCATAAAGAACCAGTCTTTTTTGGAGAATAAACCGAAATGTTTTCAGTACTTGAATAACATTTAGCTGATATAAAAAATTGTTTATAATTGTATTATGTAAAACACTCATACCTGTATGACTTGGAAGGATGCGTTTATCGTAATTTTTGAATATTTTTCTAAATTTCTCACTTATTTCTGATGTGTTCATTTTGGGTGCAAGTTTTGCTGTTCTGTAGACAAAATTTTATTAAAATCAAAGATGTGAAGATAATATATGTTTAAAACAATTGAATTTCAATATTTCATCGATTTTTCTTGTCGATTAAAACGCTTGACTGGTCAACATGTTAGGCACAACAGTGAGAAAAACTTAAAGTATTTCGCAGATAAAAATATATAGAAAGGAAATAGCATTCTTCTTTACCTTATCATGAGACACAGTATAACGAAAAACACGTTGACAGACATCATCAATGTTAGAACGGTGTGTTTTGCACTGATATAAGCTCTTCACTTTGCATTATACCGTAGATGTGTAATATGAAGATATCTTATTGCCACTCAATTATTCATAAATACAAGATTCTTCAATATAGACATACTCTCAAACATATCTTTGCTGGTGGACCATTGTATTGCTTAGACAATGGCATAACAAAAACCTATTTGTAAACCTAAATCTTGATGCTTCGATTCGCTGCTGTTGATGAGTGAAAAACTCATCAAATAGAAACCAAATTTACATAAGCCAAAGGCCCATTCCAGGGTGCCAATGCAAACATGTTGGAGAATAGAATGATGGTGCTATTCATTCGAATTAAATGAAGTTCATTCTAATTCGAAACAATGCTATAAATAAAACATCCAAAAAGGTTTCTGAATGCATCAGATTTCAAAGTTGCCAGCAAGCTGTGCTTTTACAACATTTTTAAGCATTTACCAGTTGCTTTTGGTTTTAAATTCAAAGCAGTAACTAAAAACTGTCCTGGTCAACGTATCGAATCGTAGACTTGTTGATTTCTAAACTGAGTTTTGCGACTAATTCAGCATAATAGTATGCTGTCCAAAAACAATCGACATGATTTGCTATATTTGGTTTTTACTTTCTAAAAGCAACAGTCAGATAACACAGATTTCTCAATTTGAATTGTTGAATTTTTCTAAGCAAAATCGAAAAAAATCATTTCAAGTTTATCTCCCTAGATGTATCTTACAGGAAATTAAATATTAGGCGCGCGTCTTAGGCATTTTCAAAGTAGAATTGTTAGCATCTAGCAACGCTTATTTAAACAGTGAGTCAATAGAAGGTCTAAATGGAAGAACCATTTGATGATAGAAATGGTTTTAAGAATGAATAATACGAAATAGGTAATTTTCTCAATCAGGTTTTATGCAACTTGAATGCCCGAAAGTCACCATCAGTTTAAATATAAGAGACAAAGAACTTTGTAAAAGCATTGAAATCCAAAATTTAGCATGCTTCTATTCCGACACTCATCAGAGTATAAACGTCACATAATGGCAAAGGGTGACCAAGTACGAATCGAAAGCACAGATGACCGAAAATAACGGGAGACGAACAATAGTGTGTTTGATTGGCTGGTTATTTTGACCAATCAGCAGCTGCCAGCCACTCATTTACTAGAAAATATATACTGTGAGTCCTCGAATAAGCCACTCTAAAGTAATTTTTGGGAAATAAGCCCCCACCCTCGAATAAGCCCGCATTGGCTAAGATATTTCCTCGACAGCAATGCTTTATCCCATTGTATCTGCATTTGAAGCATGCTGACTAATTTACCCTGGTAATATTTTTAGCTGCTGCTAAGAAAGCCCTTACCTTCGAATAAGCCTACTCCTCGAATGAACCCACATCCAAAATAACTTTTGCGAAATATCGTATTTCCTCTAAAAAACGCCGCGGCATTTATTACAAACTCCAAATTTTGGATGCGGCGTTTAATAGAGGGCGGTAATCATCAGATAGTGGCGTTCAATACAAAATGAAAAGTCTGTCAAATAAAAAATGCGATGAAAAAAGATAAAAAATGTCAAGTCAAGGAATGTCAATATCCCTGTTTCCGTCAGAGTCCTCGTCTATATGAGATAAAAACTTTCATGGCTTTCGAATAGTAAGCGTATAAACGATTCCTTACTTCTTGATGGGTGTGTTTTCTAATGAACACCACTTTTCAAGATGCGACGTTCAATAGAGGGCGGCGTTCAATAGAGGGCGGCGTTCAATAAAGGACGGCGTTTATCAGAGGGCAGCGCTCTTTAGAGGAAATACGGTAAGCCCCCTGGGCTTATTCGAGGGCTTACAGTAATTGAAAACTTAACATAAAATGAAAAGTTTTTTGTTTATCCGAAGATTATTGTGATACCCATCTTTAAAGTTATTAGGCAGGGCATTCCTCTCAACCATCGACCGCATTGCCTAACCTCTGTTTTCTCGGCTGATTATGGAACAATATGGTATAACGAACAATTTAAGCCCTTACAACATTTTCAAAAATTCATCAAAGTCACGTTACCGATGACGTCAAAAAGCTCTGTTTCCTAGACTGAAAATCATTGTAACTTCTCAAGTATACGTCTGACTTCAATATAAATGCTAGATTCGGGCTCGCCTGAACGAAAGCTTTCTAATGATATATACACATCACTATTTCAACGATGTCAGCAATTTTCAATGATGACGTCATCGCTTTCAAAATGGCCGTCGACCAGCGAGCTGACTCTGATTTTGCTAGGCACAATTTGGCATTATCGCAATTTGACATCATGCATGGTTTTGCTTGACACTTTCTTATAATCGAGAAAAAGCTGCTCCTTCGCCATCCACAGTTTTTCATTATTATTCTTTTAATTTTATTAATTAAATCTAAAATAATTGTTTCCGAAGACCGGACCTGAAGCCGTCGGTACGAAACCGAGCTTTGCACAAAGGCCAAGGGCTTATATTATTGGCATTGCCAGGAGACAGGAGGAAACAGTTATTATATGATTTATTACTTTAAAGCCTTTATTTAATACCTCTGACAGGGCTAGATACCTTGCCAATCACTCATAAGGTGCCTGTCTATCCAGTATGCAAGGAATATACCTTGATTCTTTCTTAGATATGATCTTGACATATTTCATGTTTTTGTTCATGCGGATGAAATGGGGAAGGCAAAGATGAACCAAATTATGTGAACGAATGCTGACTTGTATAGTCAGATCAAGGTGCTGATGGGTTGCTTTCATCAACTCATGGGTTCGCCAACGTCTTTTCCAAAAAAACACACACAGTCAATGCCCATAAGCAATGGCAGATTGATGCAAAAACTGTTGATTCTTGAAAATCGTCAAAAAACTGAAAAGTCGCTTGAAATCACTAAACTGGAGGATTTGTCTGCTTTGTTGAGCATGGTAGCAGCTTTGCAGAAAAGCAACACTAAGCTACTTTTGCAAGCAGTGCGAAATATGATTCTGCTTACATTTGCATTGAATCACATCAACTATGCCCGCTACTGGACATACCAACATCTGCTTCTCCATTGCACTTTAATCATTACAGGGTGAGGGTGAACAAACTACAGCATTCCAAGATTGGAACAAAAAAGAATTTGGCGGAAATTTCAAAACAAATTCTCTGCAATTCATTGCGATTTACATACAGAGCTATTTAATCAAGAAGATAAAGGGACTGCAGGTCCATACAGGTCTGGCTTTAGCAAACGTTAATGCGGTTAACACTTGGATTGCTACGTCCCACATTCATAGCAAGTTTAGAGAGGCTCTAAAAAAATACTTTTTCGTAAAGTCATCATCAATTCACAAGTACAGCATTCCAGGTAGGACAAAGCTCCTTCAGAAGCATAATGGTAGCCTTAGAGAACTCTTCGAAGCTATGGCACCAATCGGTTTTCTGTTACACCTGCGAAATCGACTTTAACTGGTGAAGAACTAGAACAATAAAGTTCTACTGACCTCCTTGCAGCGTCAATCATAGGAGAAGGGAATGTGCATCGCTTCACAAATGATCGCCTGATTAATGGCAGCGTTTAATTCTTCACGCCGATCAAAAAAACCAAAGCTGAAGGCAGATCTGGAAAAGGTCAAGGGGACACCTACCGTGGCCAAGGAACACAAAAACAGGCCTTTAACTACTCATTTTGAAGACAGGAAGTCTTGAAGAGGCATTCACTCATCCCATGATAAGCGTTCCTCTTTCAATTGCTATCGCTACAGCTGGTTTAACTTTGTGTCAGTCAGACAAAGTAACTTTGCAACGACTCTTGCTCGAAGAGTGGCAATGGATCAAAGACATGCCTCCGAAGTCTGCCGTTTGGATAGTAGACGGAGTGGTATCAGTTCGCTCCATCAAGCCGATGCCAACGTACCGAGCGCGGACGCGCAACCTTATCAAATTTGTTGCTCTTGAAGTTGGGTATAAGTTGGTGAACCAGGGCCAAGAGGTCATTTAGAAGTGTACTACCGAAACATGTTGCAAGGATATAAGCTCCTATATCAAAATTAGAAGCAAATTGATATCATAAGACTGATTTCTGAAGGAAGACACATTGGGCTTTTGCTTTTCCCCATGTAAAACGCAAATGGTTTCCATTTCGGAAGAGATGTTTGCCTTAATCTACAGGCTTCACATGCTTTATCTAGGTGAAATTCTAAATCCTATTTCCGCAACGTAGGAAAGGTAAGGTTGCTGAAGACAGTCATCAAGAGCCCGCGATACCTTGAACTGCTTGACAGCCTTGGAGAAGGAAAAGTGGTTAGTGATAGCGATATAGAAGATTTTCAGAAGTTTGTTCAAATGGTAATGTATTCTGACAAGGTCAAGAGAAGCTATGTGGAAACAAGACTAAAAATGTATAACAAAATGAAAGTAACATTGAACTCCCTTCTGATTCACATTCCTAGAAGATAGCCTACTGCTGATTGCGTTGCGTAGAACCATCCGTCAAGACTTTCTTTCGAAAGTTGTGGCTGGAAGGGTCTTCTGAAGAGTCTTCCTTAAAATCTTGCTGCCTCCTTCTTTGAAGTCAAGACGGAAAAACAAGAGCCGACTTTCAGAAGACGTTGGGGCAGATGTCGAAAGTGGCAGTGAAAATCTCCCTGCTCCAAAGAAATACAAGAGATGTACTGAGGTACCGAAATAGGCCCGTAGTGTCGACGAAATCGGTGCTAGTAACGAATACAAGGAAACAACAGACCAGGTAGACTCTGACCTAAGTAGCACTGAACTTTCTGATGAACTAGAGAGTGAACGGGAAGTTTATGACTTCAGTTCGTCGGAGGATTCTGGCGGTAAATGGATTTGAGGCAAATATATAACGTAAATCCTCGAATAAGCCCCTGGGGGCTTATTTATTTCTTATATTTTTGGATAGGGGCATATTAGTGGGGGGGGGGTGATACGAGGGGGGTTATAAAATTATTGTAGACATTAAGAAGACATTAGTAAAATACGTCATTTATTTTAATAGCAATTTCTTTATGAGCATTTAATTAATTACTACCAAACGTATGAATTGTTGTGGTAATTCAATAAAACGCCGTAGGCAACCTCAGATGGCAAAAATCATCAAATTGAGGGGTCCCATTCGAGAATTTATGGTAGCAGTGGGGGCTTATTCGAGGGGGGCTTATTGACATTTTGTAGTGCTAGGGTGGGGGCTTTTTCGAGGGGGAAGGGGCAATTCGAGGATTTAAACGTTAAATTGAGTGATGCAGAATAATTACCTGACAAAACATTGCCACAAAACGATCCAGAAATGCAGTTGATTAGATCAGAGCTTTTGTCTAAAAATGTACTGTTCGACGGCCATTTTGAGAGTGATGACGTCATCATTGAAAATTGCTGACATCGTTAAAATACTGATGTGTATATATCATTAGAAAACTTTTGTTCAGGCGAGCCCGAATCTAGCATTTATATTGAAGTCAGACGTATACTTGAGAAGTTACAATGGTTTTGAGTCTAGGAAACATAACTTTTTTGACGTCATCGGTAACGTAACTTTGATGAATTTTTGAAAATGTTGTAAGGGCTTAAATAATTCGTTATACCATAGTGTTCCATAATCAGCCGAGAAAACAAAGGTTAGGCAATGCGGTCGATGGTTCAGAGGAATGCCCTGCCTATATTTTGATGCACATGCACCTGATTATTGGTGATGCACAATTTAGAGACGCCTTCAATTCTAAACCTGTTTAAGTTTTTTTTGTTTGACGCTCTTGAGAGTATAAAACAGGAGTTATTATCAAAAATGGCAACTCAACTTTTATAAACATATTTGGTATACATACTGTAGTGGTCTCACTTCAAAATATACTTTTTGGGATAATTTAGAGAAGCTATAGAAGCAAAAATGGTCTGATACTTATATCACATAAAAAATATTATGTGGCATTTTATTGTTTTCTTTCTTTATTTAAAGTTGGTACAATTTCTAGCTATGCGTACTCAAGCTAATTAAAACCAACTCACTTAAATCACCAACGCTAAATATAATATAAATCAAACATAACCGATGTTGCTAACGAATTCCTTGCAAAGATTACAAGTACAATTAAACGATGTAAATTCTGAGATTTTTTTCTTGAACATTTGTAAAGTAGGGGAGTACTTTATCTCATTTGGAACTGAGTTCCATATTAATATCCATATATTTTGTAATGTGTGGATCTGCTGTTTTGAATTGGGAGTTTCTTAAGTAATATGGGCATTCATTTATGGAAAATATTTCATCCATAAAAGGTGGACTCAACCGTTAGATGTTTTGTAAATTTCTATCGCAAGATATTGTAAATTTTTCTTATGCGAAGTTATTGTTTTATTCTTTATTAAAAGTTGTCCAAAAGTTAGGGGTACCTCCTTCACATAGCGTTAGTACAGGTTTTCTAACTAAGACTTAGGCAGCCTTTCCACTAGCCTGGGTTAAAACATACCCGGGTTAAAAGTTATCCGTTTTTAAAGTGAGTCAATGGAAACGGCACTTTCCTTCGACCCGTTTTTAATTCGTTTTTGATCGTTCCCACTAAGCTGAGTTAAAATGTATCCAGGGTGAAAAGTTGTAAGAGAAATCAGTATTTGCATCAAAAATCCTTCAATTTCTATCGTTGTAGGCCAATGGAAGCAACATCGACATCCAGGATTTTGTTTTTTGATTTCTGGCGCCGTCTCAATTTTTAAATGTTGCTGTTGTTGCAAGTGGATCAAAAGTTATCCGGGTTCGGCGTTTCCATTAACTCGCAGGTGAGTCAAAAGATACCTGGGTAAAAACTGACCCACTTTGAGACCCGTTTTCAAACTTATCCGTTCTTCAAGTGGGTTAGTGGGAACGCGACGCAGAAACGGATAACTTTCAACCCGGATATGTTTTAACCCAGGCTAGTGGAAAGGCTGCCTTATTATCTAAGCGTATTCAAATCAAAACGTCGTTTGAAGGTAAAAACATACTCATATCATTCAATATTCTAGGGCCTTCTGAAATATTTTTTCTTAGATTTGTATACTAATTATTTTTCAGCTTTATAACTCCTCCTATGCCTAAAGCATCTCTTTCTTTAACTTTGTTTGAGTTTATCTATCTTTAGACAGTTGAACTTTGAATTCAATCAATTTTTCAGAAACGTCATTAATCTTTAATAAGTACTTATATGTTTTGATTTGATTTTTAATGAAAAGTTAGCATAAAATTTTCATCTGGTCGCATGTTGCCTTGATTTGTTTGTCATAAATGCATAATTGAAATGATCTTAGAATTTTTCGTTAATAATGTTTGAAAAAGGAAGCCACTATTTTGACTTATTCAATCTTGAGTTAATTGCGTATGCTAAGAAACCAAAGAGACTTTGGCAATAAAACAGTCAAAGACTATTCCCAACTTCATCATAACAACGACAGAAATAATATTTAAAGTAAAGAAAAATTATTAATACAAATAGATAATGATTTCTGTTCTAAGCCATGTCCTTTAATCAATGCTACTTAAACAAAAACCAGTTTCCATTGCATCATCGCTGAACACATTCCTAAAGCATGGCACAAGACATCAAATTCACGTTCTCGTTATTACTGAACATATTGGATCACCAGAATTTTAGCCAAAGGAGTGCATTAATGAGCTTGCAAAAAACATGCAGGATGATAGCCATTTTAGATTTATTTTTTGTTAAAGAAGAAGCTATCAAAGCTACCTTTTTGACGTTTTCCTATTCATATAGCATTGCTGTCAGCACACCAAATCTTTGTTGTTAAAATATCATCATTTCCCCGTCAAAACACTTTGCAATCGGACTCACACTTGAGTTTAGAAACTTCTTTAGAAAGAAAGTCCCTATTTTTTATAATTTGGGAAACATTTTGTGTTCAGGAGCTCAAAAAAATTTAAGCAAACATTGTTTTATCATTAAAATATAAACTGTTTGTGACTTCTCTTGTTTTGTTGTGGTTTAAAAATTTTAAGTTACTTCTAGAAAATAAGCATTATAATAACTCTAGGGGAACTCTTGAGCACAGGAGCTCCATCGTAGTGTCGCAAGAAAGATTTGTGTAGGAAATGGCTGAGACAAAATTAGCTTGTATTGTCTATTAAGAAAACTAAACAACAACATGAACATTATGTTGCATTGACTACAGAGAGAACTATGGAAATTCTAGGCAATTCAATCGAGTCTATAGCAAATATAATTAATAAATCCTTTATTCTTTGTCAAAAATGTTTAAACTACCATCGAAACAAATAATTCAGATTTGGAAGAAATGAGATTGTGCAGGTTGCCTGCATGCCATCGAAATTATGGTCAAAGAAAGTAGAAAAGATGCCATTTACTCATGCGTTGAATTGTATAAATATCAATAAAACAAGTTACCTTAGATCTACTAAGGCAATATGTCTTTAGCCTGTAGAAGATTACGCAAGGCAGTAATTTATCTTATCTTTAAATGCTGAAGCAAAACTGATAATAGTTAGTTTCAACACCTAACATATTTAACACGGACTGGCCTTACCGTCGCCCCTAGGTATGACCGGTCAATAGGCTTCATTGAGGTTTAAAAATTTTCAAAGTCTCAGATCACACCTCCCTTTATAATAGACATTAGGGTGTGCAATGGAATGTAAATCCAATTTACACCTTGGAATGTAAATTATCATTGTAATGATTCAAACCTCTGGCTAAACGGACTGGGGTAGTGCAGAAATACCTAACTCTCTGTCCCCCGACATGTTGAGGATCATTGAGCCAGGAATTGAGCATTTGGCAATAAAGTACCCTCGTCTCTCTCTCTTCGAGCCTCCCTTTGGGCTCTGGACAAACCTTTAAGGATGGATAAGTCTTAGCACATTGTATTTCACTTTTTATCGTTACTGGTTAAAACAACTGCAAAGTATATGCCATTGAACAGAACGAATGAAAATGGGAAAACCCATCTACACATTTTGTCAATCATGTGATTCTCATTGTCTTTTTTGTGCTTTTCAGCAAGTGCTTTGGCTAGCTGCCTGGCCTTGACAATTGCTGCGATACTAACAGAAAGCCTTCTCTCTGTCATGTCTCTGGCGTCATTCACTTGCTCATCCTCAGATACGCCGCTTGTTTCTTCACGACTTTTGTCCTCCTCGACAGACCAGTTCTGCATCCTTGGATTTACCTTAGGTCCATCTTTGCTCTCTTCGTGATCAATAACAAATGCTTCATTAGCTCTCGAGCCGCGAATCGACAAATTATCTTCTTGTTTGATTGCAGTTGTTGAGGGAAAGTTGATAGCTGTGACGATAGTGTCGTTTTCACGCGTACCGTTTGCTTTCTTATTTGGTCCAGAGTTATTTCCATTTTCACCAGAAATCTAAAACGTGTAAAATACCATAATGCATACCAGTGCATACCCTTTGTGAGAAACTTCAGTCAAATCAAGAAAATAAACAAAAGGTGCGCAATGTCCTCCTGAGTACCGTGCATTGCGTCGATTTCACGGTTGCATACACAAAGAGTGGAGGGGGAGGGTAACTTAAAAGATTTGTGATATGGGACATGCCATTATTTAAGGGAACATGCAGAATTATAGGCAGAATTTTGAAAAAATTTGAAAAATAATTAGGAGGGAAGTTTAGCATCAACAAAATGAATGTCCTGTTAGAAATGAAAGTATGATAAGAGTGTAATATTGTGATTTCGGAGCAAAAAATATTAAAAAATTTGTTGATAATTTTGCTTCGTCCTATTAAATGTTTGTTGCGTTGCAGAATTATAGGCATGGCTTTCCTCATGTTTGCGAAATAACAGGTCACATTTTTACAGACATGTGTGGAGGAATGTGTAAAAATTTTGAACCAAATGGTGCGTTCAAAACTAGGCTTATTTTCAAACCGTTCCTACCTCCAATTTGTTGCCATTTCTGTCAGCAGCACGCTTTTTTGAACGCTTTTTGGTTGGTTTTTCTATCTGACCCTTCCATTTCAGATCAGTAATACCAACAACAGCAAATTCGACAAGAGCAGCAAAAACAAATAGAAAACATGCTAGCAAGTAATAATCAATGGACTTTGAGTAGCTGACTGGAGGGAGGGTTGACCTGATGCTATTCGCCAATGTGGTGATCGTCAATACAGTTGTTATACCCAGAGCTACCCTTGCAGGTGTTGAACGATAGTCGATCCAGAAGCCTACCCAGCTGAGGATGACGACAAGAGCCGTTGGAAAGTAGTTCTGGAGCAAGTAGTAGTTGATATTTCGACGCAGATGGAATTCAACGATGAGGCTGTCAAACATTCCTTGAAAAAACAAACAAATTAAACATGCAAGGAAGATAAAAATAATCTTATTACCCAGTAAGGAAAAATCAAGTGAAGGAATTTATATGCTTGCTGTTAAAGTATTATGTTGGAAAGTAGCAGACGCAGCGTACAACAGCAACAAGTAGCATTTAACAACATTAACGAGATATATTTTAACAGTGATGTTTACTTTTAATGGTATCAGATACAGTGAACTGATCTGTCTTTCGAGGAAGATGATGGTTTGAGATGTGTTGAAAAAGAAAATTCTTGTATTTTCTTCGTTAGAAAGTGCAAGCAATAAAATTTCTGAAACGTGGACGTCTTTCAGAAATTGTTGTTGTGCAGCAAACTGGTCAGAGTAGGTTTCAAACATAAAGCTAACTGTTAAGGTTGAGTTTGAAAACTTGTTTTATTCATCATTTTCACTGAGTTGAACGAATTTCTTCTAATAAAACATTAACATAAAAATTTTCCTCCATTGTGTAAGCTATGCACTTTAGCGTCTTTCATGTTCATTAAATCGAAATGAAAGGGAGATATACAAATGGCAAACTACTGATGTGTAAGCAGGATTCATTTAACAATTATATTCAAAGGTCACTGTGTTTCCAGGTATATACTTACCAAATATCCCGTAATTGCTCGTTGTATTTGTGACTTTTATGTCATGCAAAGTGAATTCAAACATCATAAGATCCTCTGGGTAGAAAAGTGGACCTCCTGCTTCGTAGCTCCAGGCAAGCTTGCATTGTTCATTATTATATGAATCTGAAAAAAATTATTATAAAAAAATTGATGGCACCTCTCAGTGTATGCATAGAGCTCTATTACAAGTTAAAGGCAGTCAAAAGATACTTTAGTTGCAAGGATGGCTCAATTGTTAGAGGCACTGACTACAGAGCCAAGGGTCCGTGGTTTGAGTCCCTTACATGACCAAACTGTCACCCAGAGTGAGGAGAGTCGCCAGCTCTCTGTAATTCCAGGCGTAGGAATCACGAAGTGTGGTCACATCGAGAGGAAAGACCAGGACATTGCTCGATAAGCATAAGCTTCTCAGTGTCCTAAAAACTACCTTCGAATGCTAGGAAGAAACAAATTCAAATGCAGATACTACAGTGGCTTAAGTCATCTGTCCACCATGACCAATCGATAAGCATGATGCTAGTCAGACGCTTCTTGATTGGCCAATAGCTGATTGGCTTACCATCTGGCCTAGGCCATTTGGGTAGCTGCCTACTGCCTATAAAACTGAATAAGCACAGTTCTGGCAGGCAGTTATCAGATTTCTCTCGCGGCAGCCAACTTAGTTAGCGAGCCAAATATCTTAGGTTTTCGTTTTAGTTTTCTTGTACCGTTGCGATCTATCTTCCATTCTCATTACTATCCGTCCGTCATAGCTATTAACAACCTAGGCTTTTAATATATGTTTGCTTTGCAAGAACTGCTAAAGAAAGCAGAGTTTACTGTCTGATACTCTTAATTGTTTTTTATTCTACCCTTTTTAAGGTTTTGTATCTTCAATATTTTGTTTTTGTGATTAAATGCCCTACATGTATCTTTTGTCGTTATGTTTTAAATATTCGTCGTATTTCTAGTTCTTTTCCCTTTTTATTCACTTTAAGTTTACTTTGTAGAGTTTTGTTTTATATTCTTAAATGGTTTTCTTTGATCTATAACTTTCTTTGGTTTCTATCGTTTCAAAGGCATTGTGTTACGGCGTTCATCAGTTTACCGAAACAAAGTAAAAAAGGGTTTTTTTCAGTGAGTTTTCATTTCGTAACAGTTGTACTAATTTTTCACCCTTCTCTTATTACTTGGACCCGCGAAATTCAATTAACCTTGGCACGACTGACTGTGCGCTGAAAACATTTCACCTAACCGTCTTGCAATTAACAATTCACAGCATATACGAGCAATTTTGGCTATCAGTGTTTACTACACGTCCAGTCCATGTCGAAAAGACAGGAAATGGGAAATTGTATATATTTCTTTGAATAACATTATTTATGCCTTTCTGAAAGTGGATTGAAGAAAAACTGATATGACTTACACGGCTCGAGAAAAAACTTGCATAATTGGGTGTCGAAAGGAAAGTTCCCAAGATCCATTGCGCAAAAATTGGTTATTGAAACCCTGTTGAAAGAAAAAGTTTGCTCAAAAAGACAAATTATCAATTTAAAGCTGTCGGTTATGTACTTTGCACTTGATACTTGTATTTCAAATTTAACAGAACTTTCATTAGTCGCGTTATCTAACATGGCTCACGATATCTTTCATAAGTCGAGATGTTAATAGACTACCTGTGTACCTGCAGCATGGATATTGGTTGTTTTAAGAATTAATTTGCAGAGGGGGAGGGGAGGAATCTTAATTTTGAGAGGGTTGCTACATATCAGCAACATATTTGAGTATTACACCCCCAGAAAAAAATCTGCTTTCAATGGAGTGCGTTATTTGCTTTCATAATCAATGATAACGATGACCATACTTATTTTAACGAGCAGAGGAGACGTTTTCAGTTAGCTTAAGAAAGCACGATTCACCGCAATTCCAATCCCAGCAAGTTAAGTGAAAGAGATTTGGTAGTCTCAAAAACTTATAATTGAAACTTTGCAGCATTGCCTACGTGCTCGCTATTTTTGTTTAAAAAGTTAAATTACAAATTGATGCTTCCATACATTTCAGAACACTTACCTTTGACTGGAACGAATTAGGCCATTTTTCATTATTCTAATCAACGAATTCGGTCTTGTTATGTCATGCATCTTTCCTTTCTTTCCAGTTGGAAAGTAAATATCTGGTGTCCAGATTTCTTGCGTGAACTGACCGTTTAACGGAAACTGCTCGCCGTCGTCTAGGGGCAGGTCTAAACGATAGTCATACCAAAATGCCCGAAGGTAGAGATCCATGGAATAATGCTGCAAAAACAGAATATTGGAGAGCTTGCAAAATCTCTAAGCGAATACTTGGTACTGTTTGGTAGAAACTTCTTCAAGGGGAACTCAATGACATTCTTACTGGCATATTTTGAAGTAACCAGCTTAAATTATTTTAATGAAAATAATTATTTATGCTATAACTTCAATATAATTCCTTTGTTTATCTTCATTATCTCTAACTGGTGGAACCATGAACCAGTGGAATTTTCATAGGAAAAAAGGGTTGACAATAAGAAAACTAGCTTCTGCCACAAACTCATTGTACGAGAGATAATGTCCAATCACAAGTATCACATGATTATTGTTGCAAGCTGAAAAGGAGTAGATTCTCATGAAATTTCATTTAAATAAAAAGTCTCTACCATGTGGATGTTTTCAACTGGAACCATGTCACCAATGTACATCTGAAGCATAACAACCGCAGCTTTTCCTTGAGGATAAGAAAATAGTTTTATTTTTCTCATACATTTCTAGCTTAAAGGCAATCTGTCACGACGTTGATTGGTTATAAGAACAAAGGAATTTTTAATTGTTTCCAGTCCCCCTTTAATTTATCGCATTGTAAAAAATATGGCGGAGCGCTGGAATCGTGTTTAGGATATTGTTCCAGCTATTGTTCTCGTTAACCAATCCATAACGAGACAGATTGTCTTTAAAGAATGTATTGAACAAGGCCTCAAAATCAGCTGTGTAGAAAGGAGTCTTCCAAACAGCAAGAAATTGAACAAGGAAGAGGAAAAAGAAAAAGAAGAAGAATAAAATGAGAACAAGAAGAAAGAAAGAATGAAGACGGGGGAGAGAATGTAGAAGAAGAGATGAAGAACAAGGGAGAGATAGCAGAAAAATGAAGAAGTGGAAAGGGAAGGCGATAATGAAACAAGAAGGAAAATAATATAAAAAAACAAGAAGAAAGAGGAGAAGGAGAAGAAAATGTGAAATGAGAAGAATAGGAAGGAAGGCAAAAATCAAAATGAAAAGATTAATTATAAGGAGAAAAAGAATAATAGCAAAAATAGGACAAATTAGACAGCGTGATGTTTGACAGTGCTTAGCAGGCTTGCCCACAGGACCACCATACAAGCTCCTTGCAAATCTTAAAAGCCTTTAATATCACCATCGTAATAGAATGGTCAGCTCTTGAGCTAATAACAGAATACGGATCTACAAAAAGCCTGTTGATAGTAACAGCTCTGTTTGTTGTTGTTTGTTTGCTGTTATGAATTAAAAGCTTTTTAAAAAATTTTATTGACGTCATAAATATTTAAGCTGTTTTTATTTATTTTGTCCCGCAAACCATTTGCAATTGAGTGTATGGTTTCTCCATAGAGTGGCACTAGTTTTCAATTTGATTCAAGCAGCGTAACTCCTGTGTTTTCACTAACTAAGCTTGCGGTCTTTTTACGTTTACTATTTAATGGTATATTGAATGTCAATGACAATCAATAGAAAGAAAGGAGCAACCTTAGGCAAGCAAGTTTCATTGAGAATTCTCCCTACGTCTATATTAAAAAGGGTTCAAGTGTTAAGACCTTGTTTCTTGGTTTTGCTCCAATCATTGCCAAGGTTTTTGCACTCTGAAGTCAATAAACAACATCGCATCTAACTCACACTTTCTCCCCCTTTCTACACTATTTGTTTTGCTGTAATTAATGTTGCATATAAGGTTAGTAAGCATAAAGATGGAAATGGCCCGTGTGATTTGTACTTATCAACAATGGAAAAAGGAGCGAAAATGACAGTTTATAAAGGGAGAGAAATGAAGAATGCAATTAAAAACAGCTTTGACTATTAAAAGAGACAAAAAAGAAACTTTGCAGATCCAAAAAGTTGCATTGTATTGCTCCCATAGGCCCATACAGGCACCTCGGAGCAGGGGGGGGGGCTGGGGGCACTTTTTGCATGAAATGCCAAATAGTAAGTACTAAACTACCAGTAAAGCCTCTTTTTATACGGTTTTAGCCCCCTCCCCCACTTTTTTTAGACCCCCACTTTTTTAAACGCTCTGCAGTGCCTGTCATACTGAAAGAAAGCACTCCGACATTTTACATCTTATGTTATCCAGTTGGCAAAGATTACAATAATCACAAACATGAAAATTATACATATTTAGACAGGATAAACCGTCTCAGTACAAGTAAATGACTGCTATTAATTAGGGTCATGTAAAAGCTAATCAGAGTGATGTGCGTGACGTAATGCTTTTGTGACCGTTTGTTTCAAGACCAGCTCCTCCTGCATTTTTGAACAGCAGTAATATTTCATTGCCGGGGGCCTAGATGCCGCCGCTTACCAACAATCAAGAGGATGAAATGATGAATCTGCTGCTCGCAATACTGAAGCGAAGACTCCACAATAATTCATACCCGTTGCTTTTATAATACTTTACTTTTTTAATCACTAACTGTATTCTTGAGTTTTGACCCTCGCTTACCTGATAATATGGACGCAGATGCATAACAGAGCAGGGGGTATTTTTCCATCTTCCCAAGCAGAGAGGAGCCCTAATATTTTTTGTTAAGGAGAAATGCACTGTCTTGAAATTGAAATCAGTTGATGAGACAAAACAACTAATAATAGCTAAGCTACCTTAAGATATTTTAGCAACATAAGCTTCTTGCTGTATATTTTGGTATGTTCATCCTCAAAAGAGCCCCAGCCATTTTCTTAGGCCCTTAAGATTTTCAATATGGGTTGCTTTATCATCAATCCCACGTGGATAAGTGTAGTCATGTCACTTTCATTTGTTTAGACAACTTTGTGAAAATAATCATTGTAAAATTTAGTTTATAACTCCAGAGCTTCCACATTTCAATACAGGTGTTTACAAAAATACACTTTTTCAGTTGCTATAAATTTGGCTTTGTATATAGATGATTTGATAAATATTGCAGCATATTTATATTCACTCAAAAACAAACTCTAGTAAAAAATTAAACAGACACACAATTTGACAGACCGATTTCGTTTATACCATGGAACCTTTCTGAAAAGGCACCAGTATATTTATCTTAAAAGTGATTCACAAGACTCTGGAACGTTTTGAAGGCGTACTGCTTACCACCACATGTTTCGTTTCCTTTCTCCAGCATAACAAAACAATACCACAATGTGTAAATATTAAAGTCAAAGTGCAAAATCATTTACTTATGTTGCTTTCTTTTTATTAAAATTTGTAGAAAGATTGTGGCAGTTTGAAGCTTATCTGATGTTTGGAATGAAAATTTCTGTGTTATAAGTTTTAGTGTCCTGTGTTTCAGTGTTTGTCGAGGTGCTATCTGGGTAAATGGTCCCGTCCCAGCAACACCAAGCACAACTCTGCATCGACCGTCCACTTCATCATTTTACGCCTCTATACCACTTAAGTACTGTTGAAGAAAGGAGAACTTGATGTTGATGACCCTAAGCTTTCAAGAAAAAGGAGTATGCCTGCAAGACTCAATCCTGCCAACAGTTTTTTTCCATCAAATCCCAGGGAGAATTATCATCATATTTACTTCAATGCTTTTGATGCGACTATCGAAAGTAGAGCAAGATTCAATCATGCAGATTTCAAATGCTATTCCAATTTGCAAGATCTTTTGCTGAAGGCTGTTACAGGAAACCACGTATCAAGTTTTTATGGAAATGATGTCAACCATTTTCAGTTAGAGGCACAGTTACCACTGCAAGCACCAGGGCTATGAGCTTTGATACCGATAGCTTTAAAATTTATGAACTAATTAAAATGTTTGAATAGCTAAATACACCAAGGAATAGTGCACTAAGCGAAATTCCAATACTTGGGAAGATTTTGTTGGTGATGCCAGCCATTAATTCAATTAGTGAAAATCCTTCTCTGCTTTGAAGAAAATAAAAACTTATCTACAATCTACCACTACCAACAACAGGTTGAATCACCTGATGATCCTACATGCTCATAAGGATAAACTCGATCAACTAGACTTGAACAAAATGGGTAACGAACTTTTTGACAGAAATGATAGACGTAACCAGAGGTTTGGAAAATTTACCATGCATGATACCGTTAAGAAGGCCGAGGTCCAGCACATGGCCACGCAAACTGCAAACAAACTAACTTTTTAAAAACCAACATTTTAAGTTATCAATTTTTGTTATCATCACTTTATTTCTCAAAACTGACTATTTTCTTGTTTTATCCATGTTTTAGCATGATTCTTACTAAATCCCTGAGAAACACGCCGTAACAAGTTTGTGGTTTTGGATTTTGTTAGCATTCATTGTGAATAACCCCCTCATACAAAAGAATTTTTTCTGGAAAAATAAATATAGAAACATAAACAAATATGATGTAGAGAAAAATGTTTCTGAAAGAAAATGGGCGTTTCTAAGAGAAAGTAAACCTCAAAAAGTTCTCCCCTCATCCTTCCCGCCTTCGTCGCGAACCGTACCCCCCGATATCAAAAACCATGCTACAGGCCTGATAAATATCCAAAATACTTTCTATTGCTAAGCTTTGCAGTCTACAAAAGTAGTTTTAAGAAGATTTGCTGTTTCCTAGACTCTAGGCTAGAGTAGCAGACATAACGTTAGCTAATTGCTTACCATCTTTTGTCGGCAAAACTCTTTTGTCGTAGTTTTTCATAATGTTCCTCAACATATCTGTCAGCTCTGTCGAATTACGCTTTGCTGCGTTGATCAATAGGCTGCAACAAAGGAATATCATTATCACAACTCTTTCCTTCATTCCGGCAATGCAAGACATTTTGTGTGCAGAGACCTCACATTGCAGATCGAGACAGAACAAATTCACATAGCAAATTCAACGCATTAAAATTTCATAACAACCAGAAGTATGAATAGCCTCTTGAATAAACCATTAAGAAATCAAATCTGGGAACTTCTTCTGTTATAGAATAATCCCACGGCAAGCAATGGTTATTTGACAGATTATCATAAACGCTTGTCATTTACTTGAGCAATGTCCTCAAAATTTGGCTGCCAGTTAGCATGTCGGTTAGCTATACATAATTACTAATGAAAAGGCATACTTTCCACGCCAGGCAAGAACATATTAATGCTATGCATCTCTAATGATATTTGCTATGCTTTGAATGATATTTTATATAGTTGAAATGACATCCTTTAGAGTTATCTTTAAGCTTCGTTATAGATAACAGACGATTATAACAAATACACAAATTTATTGCAACATTGAATATCAGCCCTGGCTGGGTGAAATCTGATTTGCATCCTGGCAAAAAATCTAGCTTTACTGCCAACTTCATCTATATTCAACGTTAAAATTCCTGATATGCACCAGGATAGGTAGAGAACAACCTAATCATAGGAAGATTGGAGCAAATAAGCAAAAATCTTCACTAATCATGTTGAATACATTAAGCCATTTCTGACTTTTCCTAATAGTTTTTAGTTTATATTTATTCTAGATTTTAAATGGAGCGAAAAACCAATGTAGGTAAACATTCTTAAACAAAGTTTAATATTCTGTACAAATCATACAATATTTTTTTCCCTATAACATTACAATTTTAAAAAACCATATACTATGGAAGATTCTATTTCTGTAAAGTTAGTGTTTTAGTAGGTAAGACTAACAAAACCGAGGGCATATGGCAGATGAAAATTTCCTACGCCTTTGACAAAAACCTTTCTTTTCAAGAATTCACTACACTCAAAAAATATCTTTTTGTTTTATAACATACTGTTTGGAAAAGTATTTAGTGCAACATAACATGTCGATTGAAAAAATGCGACAAGAAAATATGCGACTTAACATGAATGATATTAAGACGTAAAAGATGCTAAAACAATACTGGGGTGTAAGTTCTGCTTGTATCACTAGCAGTGCCATATCTCCACAAAACATTTTTCCTATTTTCCTTTACAACAGTATCTGGAAATCTCGGAGAAAGAAAATTCTCATAAAAAATGTAAAGACATATTAAGATCAAAATAGGTTGTTGTCCATCCGGACACACTTCAAGGAGATTGCGAAACAAGTCTAGCTGAATCAACTGATCGGCTAAGTCCTTTGTAGGTATAAAGGTATAAATAACATTACAAAAAAGAATCGTGAGAATTCACTTTCAGCTATAGAGCAGTGGTCGTTTCGGAAAATCTTGACCCTTCATACTATTATTAGCTATTCCTATTTTAATTAATGACCCGTAAATGTAATTAGTCAAACAGGCGAAAACGACGGGTGTATCCATTCAGATGACAATAAAAAAACCAGCCGCTCTGTTTTCATATTTCTGTGGCTGGAAACGAACAGCCTTTCTTAATTTTTACTTTCAATATAACCAGCTGTCAGGAATGGTAGACTTGTTGCTAAGCATCTGCTCCGTGGTGCCATGACTTGAAAAAGGAGATAATGAGATCCCTTTCCATCAAAGTGCGCAAAAAATGAAGTCTTTATATCCAACACGCTGAGAGCCTACATAAAGAGTTGCAAAAGATTGTGGACCTTCCTCCAAACATGTCATTTCTGGTCTTAATCTTCCACATTTTGTGGTGTTTTGCACCAGGTCAAATAAAGTAATTAGGGGTCGTCCTGTGATTTTTCCATTTCATTGCATCTTCAGGACTTTTTTGCTTTTCTAGCCTGATTTTTTCAGCTTTGATCAATTTTGTAATTTAAGCTTATCATTATCATAAACTTGTCGTGATTTTCCATGGTTTTGAGTATTATTGATTAAATTCTTTAACAATTGACACCATAATAAAAATAATACAAATTTTTGCTTTTTTCAATAAAATCCCCCAATTTTTGGCTAAAACATTCATCCAGCCCCGGTTTGAAAGTTTAAATGAACTCTGCATCTCTGCCCACAGCCCCCCCCCCTACCCTACCCAGGGTCTGTGTTGAATGAGGTGATAACAATTAGTAGCCGCACAACAACATTGATTTGGGGAACGGGGGCTAGTCGATTCAGAAGTAGCTCGATTTTTTGCGGGTGTTTCAGCATTTTTTGCCAGGGATACAAATAGCATAAAAGTTTACCACATAATTAGAATCTAGATAGGACAAACTAAAAATTGAGAAATCACACGCTCATTTTTGGTGATATGTTGGCCAGTCTTTCAATGTAAGTCTTTCAATTTTTTCCATAGAATTTTAACATCAACGGGAATCATTTTTATGCCATTTTATAAATAAAATGTACAATATGAGAATTTGCTTTTCATGTCGAAGCTATATCAAAATTAAAGAAGCACATGTAGCATAGGACATTTTGTCTCAGAAAACGTGGCACATTTTTGAAAATTGCAAGAGATTTCGACCCTGTACCCTGGGTACCAGACTCACTCTATACAATTAGAGGGAGTCTCTTATTTGATTTCCATTATATTTCGTAAAATAAAACCTCTCCTGTGCATACGGGCTGTCAATGACCTTAGATAGACACATACATTACCTTGAGAGTGCTATTTCTAAAATAAAAGACACAATACCTTTATTAGCAAATGGTTTTGTAATACAGCTGTCCTTGACAATTAAGAGGTTGCCTTGTTTCGTATTTCTTAGCAGCCATGTGCTTTTATGATTAGACTACGAGATTTCAATTGGTAGTTACAGAGCATTTCTTGATGGAAATGCTTGTCCGTTATATTTGAAGTAGTGATAAAACCCCTGAAAAGGACTTAATTTTCATACCATAAAAATAGATATAGAGTACCGAAGTGATGACGTCATAAAAATTAGTCTTCAGAATTTTTCAATTTTGATCCCAGAACCTAAAAGAGCATCGTGAAATATCCCTAAATATGTAAAATCAGTTAAAGGCCTTATAAATTGGCTGGGATATGGTCACTTGAGCACAGGCTCTTGCTCTATCAAACCTCTGTTATTTGGTCTTGGTTCATAACTTTATGAACCAGGCCAAATTAACAGTGATCTGTTAGCAAACTTTAATTCTTCATTGGCCATATCTCGCCCAATTTTGAGCATATCTAACTGATTTTGAATTTTGCGAGGTATTTTATGCTGTTCTTTCGGATAATGTGGTCAAATTTAAAAAATTCTAAAAAAGATTGTTTATGACGTCACACTTCGGTACTCTATATGATGTCTCAAATGCTTCTTTAATCATTAAGGTTGTTGTAGTATTATTCTCCTCCGAGACATATCACAATGTCAAACGTTTGTGACCTTTCAGAGTAGTACTGCTGGTTTCTTTTAACCAGGCCCACCGAAAGCTTTACTGGGCCCTAGGACAAAAAGATCAAACATGTGATGACGTCATCAAAACTGTGATTTTTGTTGTTGTTGTTGCTTCTTTTATTGTTATCATTATTGTTAGGAAGCTGTAAACAACGACTATAGACTTACTCCATGAGCCTCTGTTTCGGTACTGCCTTACATGACAGACGCTACAACGCTTAGCGAAAACTATACCAGAGAGTATTTGCAATTAATCCCCTTATAAAAATCCTATCCAGGAAGTGGGCCTGCGAGTGCACCAGCCCTTGACTGCCTGGAGAATACTTCTCTTTAAGGTCGGTGGCAACAATGGGAAACTGTTTCCCGGCTGATGCACCTGCCCGCAAGACGACTGTCTCCGGGGGAAAGCTGGAAAGCAGAAATTGGAAAGGAAAAAAAATTAGTCAAGATAGAAAGAAAAAAGAGAGGAGTGGGTGGGTGGGGAAGCTTGTAAAGCGTATCTATCTGTCTCGTTCTGCTTGCAGAATGAGAGTGCACTAGCTATCGTGCTATGTGGGCGTACCATCACCACATGGAGAAATTAAGGGAACGGAAGAACTATTGTTAACAGGACAATAGGTAATCAAGTCACGTGTGGTATTTTTTTCTAGTGGATTAACTCTGTTTAAACAAGTCTAAACAACATTTAATCCCCTTATAAAAATCCTATCCAGGAAGTGGGCCTGCGAGTGCACCAGCCCTTGACTGCCTGGAGAATACTTCTCTTTAAGGTCGGTGGCAACAATGGGAAACTGTTTCCCGCCCACAAAACACCAAGTGTTGCCTCCAGACACCGACTCCTAATAAACCCTTTCTGCACTAAGGAGGGAAAAGGGAAGGGAGCCAAATCTTTTAACCCCAGATCAGAGCATGGGAGGGCGCGTCACCTATTTGCCGAATAATCCGAATGTAAGGCTATTTGCCGAATAATCCGAATGCCTGAGGGAAATCTATCTGCATCTAAAATATAGCAAATTGGGTTGGGCTACTAGACCTATACCTAGCAAATGGGAAATGACAAATGAGACGCATGCGTAATATTAAATTTGCCATTGAAGTAGATAAGTCGTCGGAAATATTGGGATCTCCGTCCCCCTATATATCACTGCTGGTGTAGACCCTGCCCCAGATGGTGCTATTTACCTAGTGGATATACTACTACAGGGAGAGGAGGGTGAGGGAGACTACATGGAGAGGAGGGTGATGCCGGAAAAAGGTAAGCGGGTAAAGGATAGTGAGGGCAGAAAACACTCTTCCTGTGAAGCCAGAGATAATCTGGTTCAAGCAGGTTCGTGATAAACAATCATGCCAAATTTCAGGCAAATAAAAACACTCACCCCGTTGAGAGCCAGGACCACCCTGGATCAAGCAGGTACATGAGCAACAACCAGCCAACCTTGTGGCGAATAACCATCACTCACACCACGAAAAGCCAGGAATAACCTGGCCCAAGTAGGTTTGTGATAAATAAATGTGCCAAATTTTAGGCAAATAAAAACACTCACCCCGTTGAGAGCCAGGACCACCCTGGATCAAGCAGGTACATGAGCAACAACCAGCCAACCTTGTGGCGAATAACCATCACTCACACCACGAAAAGCCAGGAATAACCTGGCCCAAGTAGGTTTGTGATAAATAAATGTGCCAAATTTTAGGCAAATAAAAACACTCACCCCGTTGAGAGCCAGGACCACCCTGGGTCAAGCAGGTACATGAGCATATAACAAGCCAGCATTGTAGTGAAAAAACACTTCTGCCACGCCCAAGTGGGTTTGTGATAAATAAAATGCCAACTTTGTGGAAAAAATAAAACATTCATCCCTGATTACGAACCAGGACTAACCTAGCTTTTATTGAGTTGAATTAATTAACATGCCCACGTTGTGGTAAATACAAACAGTCCCTCATCCAAAATAAAACCAGGACTAACCTGATTCAAGGTTTGTAATCACTAACATGCCAGCATTATGGCAAATATAAATGATTCTCCCCACTGTAGTCAGGTGTCCCTAGTCAAAAACAGGTTTTTCAATTGAAAGTGAAACATTTTACTCGCTGTAGCCAAGTGTCCCTGGTCAAAAACACGTTTTCCCAATTGATAGTAAAAACATTCTCTCTTCTGAAGCCAGAACTACGTGGTCCAAAACAAGTTAGCAATTATAGTGAAAACATTCTCCCTGTTGAAGCCAGGACTAACCTGGTCAAAAACAGGTTTGCAATTTATAGTGAAAACATTCTCCCTGCTGAAGCCAAGACTCACCTGGTCCAAACAGGTTCGCAATTTCAAGAAAAAACATTCTCCCTGTTGAACCAAGGTTTAACCTGGTCCAAACAGGTTCGCAATTTTATAGCAAAACATTCTCCCTGCTGAAGCCAGGAATACCTGGTCCAAACAGATTTGCCCTGAATAGGAAAAAAAAAATATCCTCCCGGCTGCAGCCAGGAACAACCTTATTCAACCCTTTTTCTATAAAACTGGGATGTTGCCTCATTGTAAAAAACTAATCTTAAGTCCGAACGATTTGTAAAAACTTGCTTAGATAATGAAAATCAGCTGGGCAGTGAAAAATGAAAGACAATGCCAATCAGCTACCCAGTACAAACGAAAGAGAGCAATTGCAAATATATTCCCTGTCAATGACAAAAAGATTGTAATTTTGGTCCAAAAACAGGTTTGCCATTAATAGTAAACATTCCCCCGCTGAAGCCAGGCCTGACCTGGTCCACAACCCAAATAATAGTAAAACATTCACCCCGCTGAAGCCAGGAATACCTGGTCCAAAAACAGGTTTGCAATGAAAAGGAAAAATATCCTCCCTGCTGAAAAAGGGGGGGAGGGTCCAGGTATTTTGGCGTGATTGTGCCATAAGCGTATTTTCGACGCATGAATTTGCGAAACAAAATCCAATCATGCGTAAATGCGCAGGTCGATATTGGAGCGAGACCTGTGAAACAGCACCATTCATGGCGCGACCGCGTGAAAATGATCCTGCAAGCGAATTCCAAAATGGAGCGCTTTCGTTTTTACATGCAGAAAGTCTTGATTTCCGGTACCAGACCAGGTAAATGTCTCAATTATTCCAATGCTCCGCCAACAACAAATAACTACTCTTTTAGACTGGTGTAACGATTTACACAACCTGCTTAGACAATGCAAATCAGCTACCCAATATAAATGAAAGAATGGAATTACAAATATAGTTCCTGAAGGTTGCCAATTTGGCCCTAGTATATACCATATTTTGAAAGCGCATAGCATATAAAGCAGGATTTTTTTTTATGATTTAATTTTTAAATTTGGCATAATTTTGACATGTTTGGAATAATAAGGAATACCATGCCTTGCTACCTTACCAACAATCTTGGTAAAGAAAAACACATTGTCCTTCTTTACAAAAAGACGGGTATTGGAAATTTTTTTCATTTCTTTACACAGCTTGAATAATTATCTCCATGTGACAGTAATTGACGATACCCGATTTAACATTAAACACAGATCCCACAATAACCTCTACCATCCAACAAAAATGGATTGAAGGTAATGCTGACATGCCTGTCACTGATGAATGACCGTTTTCCTACTATTTGATAAATGTTTAACGCTATAAATAGAAGAACAGCACTTTTATGGTATTGAGTTTCAAGTGGGAACGACAAATGTCTCCTAAATAACCTTCACAGCTACACCTAGCGGGGCGTTTTTGTTTTGTTTTGTATTATTTAAACCATGCAATTTGGCCAGTTTCTAGATAAGTAATTGGCAACTGGGATTACAATGACATAAAACACCCTATTAAATTAGTGTGTAAGTGAGCCACCACCCTTGCTTAGGCAAAGTAAAATGCAACCAACCTGACACTTTGCCACAAGAAAAAATAACACGGCAATAAGCCAGTGCGATTTGTACAATATATTGCTAGCGAATAGCAAATTTTTAATGTGTCCATATAAAAGGACTGCCTATACCCAACTTGTCAAGTAACATCAAAATAAAGGCTTGCGATTGGTCAGTATGCCTGCAACACAAAACTGCTCACATGAGAAGCTAACCTTGCAGCAGGGTAGATAAACATAACGACCATAATAGCTGGGCGATGACATGAAAAATCACATGCTTCCGAAAAACCCCCGCAGAGTTGCTTGCTTGGACACATTACCTTAATGTGATTACCATGACAATTGTTGTCAATAGCACATAAAGAAAAACAAAAACAATTTATCCAACAAGCATGTGTAATAAGAGTGCAGAAAAAAAAAGCATGACACTTTAAGATCCACTTAGGCAACGATGCATCTTAAATTCTGTTTTAATAGCCAAATCATTTAATTCCATTAGTGTATGGAGGCAATGACTGTACTTTCGCAGGCAAAGCAAAAAATGAAACCAAAATGACACTTGAAAAAATCTAAGGTAGTGCGAAGGCAACTACAAAGACTTTTTTCATTGGCGCTAAACCCAAAACAAATTCTTCGGTTATCAGTGTATACAGACAGTAACAATCATTGCTTAGGCAAAGCCAAAGGTGTTACAGATATGATACTGTTGAACAAATGAAAACGCGACAAATGAAAATGACTGTAGGTACCAAGACACCTCTTGTAAAAGCAAACAAATCAATCAAATAAATGTGATCCGAAAGTAGCAATGAGCAAGATTCAGGTAACGATTACCCCTTAAAAATGACGTTTGTGAAAATATTTTCTTTGTTTTTTTGTTTTTTTGTTTTTTTTTTGTTTTTTACAATTTAGTTTTGCCGAACCCTAGTGAAAGGGGTGTTGTTTAGGAAGTGGGTTGCCTAAAATGGCAGGTTAAAGAGCAAAACATGACTGAGGGGCCCCACCGCATGCATGCAAACTACTATTTCCAAAAGGCCTGTCCGCAAGCTAAGCGAAACGAGGGATAGTGGCAAGGGTCGAGGGACCAGTCTTAGGTTGTATAGTTACGCCTACTGACATATGTATGACGATGACTAAAAAGATGATAATCGAAGCAGGGAGCTCTTGCTTGTTCTGTACACCCAGGCTGCTTATTTAACGCTTCGAAAGCAAAAACGAAGTCGTTCTATGGCCTAATGGCGGGACACCAAATCACCGGAGCGCCCATTAACGGAAGGTCAAGGCTGATGACCCCGGACCTTTTAAGCTAGGTTAACAGAGGAACACTTTCGTCCAAGCCAGTACCATTACTTCATAATCAGGAAATGTCTTTCAAGAAATAAGTGGTTACAGAAAATTCGAAAAGTAGGGAGCAAACATCAAAATGCACACTGTCAAGAGAAGAAATAAAGAACGCTCTCACCAAGGCTTATTGTGGTCGTAAAAAACATGAGCAAATACACTTCCAATAAGTGCATAGGGTAACCATAGCTCCAACAGAAAAAACTTGAACGTAACGCCTCGGTCTTGGGTGATGCCTCCAAAGAAGAATCCAAAAGCTTGTAAAGCGTATCTATCTGTCTCGTTCTGCTTGCAGAATGAGAGTGCACTAGCTATCGTGCTATGTGGGCGTACCATCACCACATGGAGAAATTAAGGGAACGGAAGAACTATTGTTAACAGGACAATAGGTAATCAAGTCACGTGTGGTATTTTTTTCTAGTGGATTAACTCTGTTTAAACAAGTCTAAACAACATTTCAAGCAGATCATAGATAAAATCTGAAATTATTTCTAGACAAAAAAAGGCCTAGGGCTCAAAGCCCGGGGCATTCTGCTCCTTTTCCCCTCTCAGCTGGCTCATTTTGCTGCTTGGCAACCAAAGAGTCTCCTATAAAACTTTCCTACAAAATTGTTTGTGCTGGAAATTTCACTTTCCTTCGAATATTGTAGTCAACCAGCAAGCCAAATATTTCAGTGTCAGTCAATGGTGTCTACATACCAAATCTAGCGACGATTTCTAAGCTATCACATTTATTTTGTCTTTTTTTAACAATGTTATGCAGGTAATGCTTTTAACAGAAACCTTCATATCCTCTCGCTAGAATTCTATTGAAAATGCAATCAAACCTTCCTGAATAAGGCAGATGGTGCATATAAAGAGCAAAATTTTAAACAAAACAAGCCTTTAATTTTAGAGTTTGTTATTTTTGTAGCCTGGATGTTATTTAGAACTATATTGGTGACAAAAAAAATAGAATAAATTGAAATAGAATAAAATAAACCTTTTCATATTGATTGAGCAGATAAATTGATAAAATTGGCTATCTGCAAACTTTCACTTTGTCTGGAAAATGTGAGCCTGGTGAGGACTGAAGGGCTGAGCCTATTAAAAATCGTATTTCTTTCTATAAATTCCATCAAAAATCTGATTTATTTGATTCCGGCGGAGATATGAATTTAAAGACATTATTGCAACCAAAATGTAATTTTGAAGATGTTTCAGTAGAGTTTTGTAGGTCTGGAAAATATTTGTGACCATCATAACATATTGCGAATTTCTTTAAAGTAGGCTAAATTTTGGAAAAGGTTCAGAAAATTTAAATATCATACTACCATTGTTTAAAGTTACAAAAGTTTGACTTTCATAAAAATAAAGTAAATTTGCTACAAGAAATGTCAATTTTTAACTCACAGAATCAAAATTATATTTAAAATTACTTTTTAGTATTTTAAAAAAGCCAACATGAAAGTAGCAAGCAGCAAACAAAAAATACTTATTTGTTAATGCAGGTTAGAGTGACAGCTAATGATGCTAGCTGATGTTGGCCTGCGGCCTGTGCCCCTAGATTGATGTTCTTTGGGTACTAGAATGAGTACCTTGGGTACTTATTTACCGACCTCAAGGGGATGGACAGCTGAGTTGGCTGGAGGCCTTGTGGAAAGTGATTCTGACAAGACCCGAACCCATATGACTTTCAGACCATGGAATAAAGGCCTTTGACTACGCGTCCACACCAATATTGAACGTCAGTTTACTCTTTGTTGTTAAGAATGATTTGATGCTTTCCTCTCTGTTTCTTTATTTTTTTCTCATGCACTGGCCTTCTTGAAACCAAAAAAATTGTGTCGGATAATCTTCCTCTTATTCACAACCGTGGAACTGTAACGCCTTTTGGAGAATGGGCACAGGGTGTAGTTAAAAACGACGCCGCATGCACGTACCCACTAACAAGTGGTGTGGCCAAGAGGAGAAGGTATGGTTTGGCAATCGTCCTCCAACTTTGTTAAAATTGCCCAAGCGTTTTCTCCTCAGATTCTTCTAGCTTTAAGAATAATTTCAACAGAATTTTAAAGCTTTTCATCTTGTACAAGACACATGAAACCTTCCTATGAAATGTAGAGGGTGTCTCATAAAACGTTTGCCTGAGGGGTTCACCCAAGACGCCTTACCACTATACCCTTTCACTATATCAACTCTGGACATGTCACTGAGGATATCCAACCCCTTAAATCAAACCCCAGCTACTTGTAACAAAAACATAGCAAATACGCTGTCAATAAGTGCAAGTGCCCCTTTATTTGAGGAAGTGGTACACCCAAAAAGAGCTTCTGTCTTCGGGTCTGTGCCTGCATTGGGACGTTTTCAAGTATGCATCACTTTCAGTTCTCCTTTTTTTCTTTTTGATAGTTACAAGCTATTGTTTGTAATCAACTCAACGCCTGTTGTTTCGTTCTAGAGTGTGATTTGAAGTCAGGAGTACAAATTTATACTAAGAGAAGATTCGTCAGATTTTAAGAAATTCATAGGGAGGAGTTGTATTTGCAAACTTCAGAAAAAAGTAGCTGTTTTTAAACATTTCATAAATAGTTTGGAATATATTATTTTGTTGATATCCAAGAAAGAATAAAATTTGTCATTGGACGTCATAGGGGAAATGCTATTTTTACACACGTGTAAGAACTAACGAACAAATGAAAGCTGAAGGGTACAACTACTAAAAGAGTTCAAAAAGGTTTTGACCACATCTTTGTAAATGAAAGAGAGAGTAGAAAAGAGCGTAGAAAGAGAAACTAGATTCATGAACAAGCTAAGCGTTTTTCCCAACAAAAACGCATAAAAGTAGCTCAAAATTGTTTTCCTTTACTAAAGTAGCACATTTGAATACATAAATTGCATAAAAGTAGCTATTATCTTACTTGAATTTGAACTTTAATGATAAGAACTTTAAAATAGAATCAACATATAGAGAGAGAATGACCTGTAAGATATATCCACAGTGCTTAAGCTGATTTTTTTAAAAATGCTTTACAACCTTTCAGCTTTCCAATATTCATTATAGACATTCCCTATTTCGGCATGAATTGTCCAGGAACAGCAGTAAATATCAATGCCAAAAGTGACGTCACACTGACTTGATGCCTATGACCTTGGTATTGACTAAATTTGATTTCAGCAGATGCCCTTTGTTTAAAAGAACATTTTTTGCGAAGGCCTGTAAAACGTATGATAATGAATTCTCAAACCAGCTTTCGTTCTTTCCACTGTTCATTGTCTTGAGGTTTTGCGTAATAATGGTTAAAAAAACAATAATTTCTTGCCAAGAAGTAAGTAAAGTCAACACTGCTGTCAAAATGACCAAGATCATCATTCGTTTTCAAAGCAGCAATTTCAATCAAGAAAAAAGCTTCTCGAATGAATAAGCTGAATATTCTTGTGCTGATAATCTCGTCAACATTTTATATTTGTATTGAGTGCATATAATTTCTTTAGTAATGAGGAAACAACATAATACTCTCCTGTCTATAAAAAGGATTTTGTTTTTGCTTTGTGTACCAAATCGTTTGTAAATATACCAAAAGAATAAATATTCTGACATATTTCTTCTACATTTATCACATCGCAACGAAAACAATTTTAACCACAGCGTAGACAGCCAAAATGTTAAGAAAATCTTCCAGAATTCTCTATGCAAAATAGTTCAAAATACAACGCTTTCTTTCTGCATCTACACACTCTTATTTTCAAAATATTGGCTGCAAATTTATTCCTCGTAAATGTGCTGAAATGATCTTGAACGGCCAGTTTATATTGATTACTTACAACGTATGCTTTGATAAATACAGTTCTAAAAACTTACCATTCAAGAAAAAATATGATTAGAATGAAAACTCTTCTATTTGTTATACTCTGCTCCATTTTACATCTCCAAAATCCCGAATTGCATCTCTAAAATAATGAATTACTCTACAAGCTTTACGCTTCAGGTTTTCTGCAAATAAAATAATATTTATGCAATCAACGCAGCGATTTAATGACGCTGCTTCACAGTGACCTTACGCGCAGACAAACAGTCAGATGCCCAACAAGTAGTATTTTACTTGCAGGGATAAACATGCGATTTCAATTATTCTAAATTCATGAAAATTTAATCACAGTCAAAGGAATGCTTATTCTTTTATTTTATTGTTAGAGGCCAAGGTTTAATCAGTTTGCCACCAATTCAATAAAAACAGGAGAAATTTCGCAAAGAATTCTAGGTGGAGAGTGAAACACATAACTTTCAAGCAGCTTAGATTCGCTTTCTTGGTCATCCTTTATCACGAATGCGTTTACGACTCTGATACCGCTGAGCAAATCTCTCGGAACATGGACTTCTAATCTGAGTTGAGAAATAAATACAAAATTGTTTACAAGGAAACAGAAGGACACAGACAGAGCGTGAATATAACTGTTGTGGTGATCAGAGGCTCTGTTGGTTTTTTCTCCAAAAATATTTTGAGAACAACTACATATTCTCAAGTTAAAGAGTACTTAAAATAAGAGCAAACAGTTCCACAATGCTGGAAGGAATCAGCTGTACCATTATCTTTCATATAAAACTGCTATAAAAAGAAAGCGTCTTTTTGTAATTTTTATAATTTTTATATGTTGCGCCACAAAGTGTGAAATAAAAGTTCAATAAATTTGATATGGCTGAAGGCACTAACAATTTATTTGAAAGGTAAAAGTCACGTTGACTTCAAATAAGATGAATCCCTTTTGAAATTTTCATGTTCTGACCCTGCAATGAAAGGGAAGGAATTTTGTACTGTTGCGGGTCCGTTTTTGAACGGGACAGTGAAAACGGGAACAGTGAAAACGGGGACAGTGAAAACGGGGACAGTGAAAACGGGGACAGTGAAAACGGGGACAGTGAAAACGGGGACAGTGAAAACGGGGACATTGAAAACGGGGACAGTGAAAACGGGGACAGTGAAAACGGGGACAGTGAAAACGGGGACAGTGAAAACGGGGACAGTGAAAACGGGGACAGTGAAAACGGGGACAGTGAAAACGGGGACAGTGAAAACGGGGACAGTGAAAACGGGGACAGTGAAAACGGGGACAGTGAAAACGGGGACAGTGAAAACGGGGACAGTGAAAACGGGGACAGTGAAAACGGGGACATTGAAAACGGGGACAGTGAAAACGGGGACAGTGTAAACGGGACAGTAAAAAAGGGGTCTAAAAGGCCATAAGATGATCGTTTATTTCATCAGCAGCCTAATTTGAAAAATTTACCACGGAAAAATTGTACTGAAAGTAGCCAAAAAGGGTGAGGTTAAATACGTTACATGCTTTGAATTCATTACCAGTACCCTGTCATTGAAAAGAACCAAAAAAATAATTGGTAGGAAATTGAAGGAATAGTTCCTTTTTTTTGAAAAGTTGGTTTAATGGCAAGGAAATAATCATAGATGCTATGTAATCGAGGAAAATGCATAAAGGAGTGTAAAGTATGCATAAAACTATTCACTACTCAACGAGACTTCAACAAGAGCATACGAAAACAACATGTCATTTACATTTCTTTTGTAACTGTCATAGAATATACCTAATGTCGACTTCAATACGTCTTTTGCAGGAACCATTGCAGAAGGCAATTAAAGTTTTAATGTAAAAAGAAGTAATGTCGAGACTTGTGAGAGCTATAATTTTTTGAAAGCCACAATACAGTTATAAATTCAAAACTTGAAGAAAGCCTAACAGGAAAAACGCAAATTTCTTGCATCAATGTTAATGTTCTTTCTGTTAGCAATGACTTATCAAATATTTATTTGTTTGAAAGATCTGCCCAGAAAAGGAATGAATCCTAGATGTAAATCAAGAAGTTAGAACCAGATTTAGCAAGCAGACAAGACGCTTGCTTGCACCCAGACCTCTTCCTTTTGGTTACTCTGTTGATCAATCCGTCTTGCATCTGTCATGCAATAATAACATCTTAAATAGGATAGCCTCTTTTGATCAAGAAAAATTACAGATACGCCGTACATGTCAATGCAAAAAAAATATCTATGCAAGAAGTGAACTGTGCGTGAAAACAACTGTGTTCTTCGAGTATCTAAATGGTGAATATTCTTTGTGTCTAACATTGCTTCTATGCTCAAGCAAATCATGAATCGAATCATATTACGTTAAAAATAATTTCAAGATGATGCTATAATGAACTTGAGCTGCAAGCTTAAGCTTTGCTGATGAATACAGCTCCTCTGAGAAAATCTCTCTTTTGCTTTTTTTCAAAAGATTTATTAGTAGGTAAATGAGAAGAGCTTTTGCAAAATCCTTCTCGAAGTAGATAACGGTGTATTAAGAAGATTTCTTAGTAATATGTTTTTGCATCGCTCACAAAGACATCTTAAAATTACTTTACCATATGCATGAATAAATTGAACTGCGCCACAAGCATAGTTCTTGTAAATCTTCAATATTAAGGTATTTAAAAAAATCTTAAGTTCAATTAAACAAATAGCGTGTATAGAGCAATAATGGATGGTTCTCTCACAGCTGAATGCAGCACCGAAAAATTGTTAAGGATAACCCCGGAATAACTTTGATCAGAAAGAGCTCAGTGAAGGCTTTGCCACGTTTGCTTGCAAGTAATGGTTACTTTTGATGGACACTCTTTCAGTTCATAATAATGGGTCTAGAAAAGCCTAATTTTTTGTAAACATTAGGCACAAAGTTATCGGTGTCACATATATCAAAGTTACAACAGTCTCATAGAACGCATCTTGAAAAAATGCGACTTATTGGGATGGTATTTGTGCCTATATTGTCTAGTGTATTAACATATATTTAGGACGTGGCAAATTGATTCTTTTTCATTTTCCCTCAGTGTTATCGAAGGTCTATTCTACTTAGCTAGCGCGTCTATAATGAGTCGATAAGGAGTCGAGAAGGAGTCTATTAGGAGTCTATAAGGTCCTAGAAAACATGGAAAACATTTAACACCTTATAGACTCCGTAGCTTTTCAATGTTTCCTTGTACAGCATGTTTATACCAAATGATAACCTAAAAATTCCGAAAAAGTAGTGATGAAAACATTTTTGAAAAAAAAATATCGAAACTAAAATTCATTATATTTGTAATGTAAGCTTACTTACTGCAAAATGGTTTATTGTTGATTTTTTTGACAATGACGCATGGCAAGGGACAGCAGAACAAATGTTGATTGAAAGAGCTGACGATGAAGCATGGCAGGAGGAAACGGGTGTCTCTGTGCAATCAAATGTTCATTAATCCGTTTTTTATAAAAAAAGTAGGGACAAGGCTCGAGGAATAGATGGAAAGACCAATAGCTACGGTAGACTAGACAACTGTGGCGTTATAAGTTACTCTCAAATACCAGAGGACTTGATTTTTCTAACGCATTTTACTAATTCTTGCAGTCAAGCTAATTGTTTCTCCTCGTCTTTAAATTTGTATCAATAATTCCCTACCCGTAGTAAATCTGACTTAACATGCCAATTAAGTAAATTCATTGTTCCTTCCCAATCGATCGATTTTGATATTCTGATTCAATTATCATAAAGGCAAATGCAATGTGTCTGTACAGTCGTGAATCGAACTAAATCTAACGATCACTGATGCATTTGCCTTGTTTCTGAATGTGGAGCCTGCATATATCCATATGCAAGCCATCTTCAATCTTGCAATGAAACCTGGACAATAGGTTTTAGCAAGACGATAGTACGAATGGGGACGGAGAGAGTGTAATTTGCGTCAATAATGGGAACGTTTAAAACAGCCACCTGTGCGCACTCTGCAAAAACATTGCATTCAGGCACAAGTGATGCACACGCGAGGCACAAATGTCTCAGCTGTGAATAAAACTTTTTACAATTTTTGCTTATACTTCCTAGGGTCACAGAGATTCTCTGGAGGCCTTGGGGCAAAAACAAAAGATGGAGCCCCCCTGCAAGCAAAGCGAGCAAAAACTTTTTGCGACCACGTCCATTAGATTAGCTTCAAGTCGTTCATTCGTTTAAAATGTTTTAAGTCGTTCATTCGTTTAAAATGTTTTAATTTTTTAGGAATAATTTAGTAGTAATAATTTCAGGAATAATAATTTACTCTATTTTTCTGCTTGCACAGCTTCTCTTTGTAAGAACTGAGGCAACGATATTGACATGAAATTATCTTTACCTCTCTCTTTTAACGTGTTAAAATTTAATGAAGAAAGTGGGATGTTTTGAGAGTATTGAATTGGAAAGGGACTTTAAAAAGTTTTTTCTTGAAAGCCATATATGCAGCTAAGTTGAATTCAGTGGGTTTGAGCAAAAAGGCTGATAGACCAAGTACTGATCTCCTTGCCAAAAACACCCAAATGTTGGCAATGAGGTCATCCACCTAATGAAAATGTTATTATGTGGCTTGATCTCAAAAGTTTCGAGTAAAATGTTTGTTTCCTGCCTTCAAAATCAAAATTTGATTTTCACATCAGCAGTCATAAGCATGTTGAAAAATTATTCAATCTTGTGAAAGTAAATCTGCAAAAAAAGAAGGAACAATTTGCATAACTTGTTTCTATAAGATTCTATAAGAAAGATATTTATTCTAAAGAGCTAAAGATATTAGCTGTGAGTTTTAAATACGTGTTAAAATAACTCAAACAGAATTAACAGAGTCGTCTTAGTTAGTTGAAAACTTTTTGTTTTTTTCATTCCCAATTTTCATTATTGTCGAATCCTTTTAGCCCTTTCAATGGTGTCTTTCCAAATTCATCATTACGAAAGCAGTCCACTTTCATGACATCAGTGACTTAAGTGCAGAAAAGAAACAGCTCCATACATGAAAACAAACACAAAATACAACAGTGGAAACAGGTATCTGCAAACTTTGTCAAGCAGGTGCACTTCATATTCCATGGTTCGATGCTTTGCGACGAGGAAATCTCTTGTCTTGTCAAGAATGCCAAAAATCCCTTTCTTACGCGAGGCCGGTTGTCCATCAGCCTCGACGCCAATGTTATTTACAGCAATTCTTCTTCTTTGCTTTTTCTGTTCAACAAAATCATATAAAAATTGATTTGAAAAGTTTATGATCAGTTTGCCAATAAAAAAGTCTAGCCATAAATGGTATTTTTTGGCTAAACATTTTTCAGCTGAAATTGAAAAAACTGTTCCAAATCAATTTGAAACATATTTTGCTCTATTTTAGATCACTTTCAAGACATTTAAGAACATCGAATAAATACAGACTAAAGTTGTTAGAATACAACAACTAAACTACTATTGAAAGCATCATTTAATACTTTTAGACCTTGTGTGAAGAAATTCTACTTAAAATGTCATACTTGTTGGGTTCTAGATTCAACAGTCCAAAGAAGATTGGAAGAAAATAACAATTCGTTTTTTCTATTTTTAAGGCCTTTTAATGGCCATTCTTGGGTAGAATAAATTGGAAGAGCATGCAAAAATACCCTCACCTTTGACCAGCTAATTGCGGTAACTCCAACGATGGCAAACTGAAAAATTACACCAAAGACGAAAAGCACAGAGATGTTCAGAAATGTCTCCAGGGCATGCGCTGTTCCATAGATATCCATATTTACTCTAACGTGAGCCACCATTTTAGTCAAGGTTAAGAATGTAGTCACTGGCAGTGCGACTCTTGCAGGAGTAGCTTTGAAATGTATCCAAAACGATACGAAGCTTAAGAACACCAAGCAAATGATTGGAAAGTAATACTCCATTAAGTAAAACCGAATGTCTCTCTTCAAGTAGAAAACCACTTTAAGTTGGTCGAATATTCCTACAATATAAAATTATTAAATCAATATTGATAATTGCTTGTCTTCATTTTTAACAAAATATCATTGTACTTTTGCTTTACAAATCTTAAGGAATTTTAAAGCAAATCATTTCTGAAAATATAAGTTCATTAAAGAGTGTGAATCAGTAATTTTTAACTGATTTTTTCTACAGTCTTGAATATTCGTCCACGGAGTCGAGCCACTGATAGGGGCACCATTATTGTACTTCCTGCATTATTGTAATTCCACCTTGGTTAGCTTTTTACTTGATTATTGATCTGTTGTGGTACAGGATAGAAACATTGGGCTACTGATACAGATAAATCGTATTTATCGAATTTAGGTAAAACAACTTGCTAAAACGTGGCTGAAAGTCACTAAACCAAAACATTTATTGATTTCTCCTATTCAAAGAAATTTTAATCATAAGCTGGTATTTTGTTGCCTACCACTGATTCCATAGTCCATGCTAAACTTTAGAGCTTCGATTCTTTCTAGCAGAAATTTTGCCAAGCGGAAAGAGTCACTGAGTGAAACACCTGAATTGTCTGTCGAGTTGAAGTATTCAAGTGTGACGCTATCCATGTTAAAAGACCCTGTGAATAAAAACAAGCGATAATTCAAGGCCTTGACTTAGTAAAATAGGACAAGAAATTCACAGAATTTGCTGTTCAATAAACTGGCTACTCGGATATAGTACCATTTACTCACAAGACTCAATTCGCAGGGAGCAGATTTGCTTGTCGAATGGGAACATTTTGAAATCCATTGGACAATAGACTGTAATGCTGACCCTAAAAAGAAAAGACAGATTTGAAGCAACAGTCGTTTTACCAATGCATTTGTACTGAGTAGAAAATTTTGTTAACGTTAGTTTTGCGGCAGACAATGACCCTACCTCGATGATGTCACCATACAGAAAAAACGGAGGAGGGAGGGGGGATATTCCAGGATTTAAAGAAACATTGATAAAGCGGGAGGGGGGGTCTGGTAATTAACGAGGAGTTAGAAAGTCTTCAATAATACCGAAACTCTATATGGATAAAGATACAAAGTACAACGGAGGACATTCGTAAAAATGAAACAAAAAAAACTTGAAGGAGTTATAACAAAAATAGTTTCTTCGATCAAAGCAAGGCCAATGACAACAAATATAGAGAGGGATTCTTAATAAAAGAGAAGTGGTCAGAAGTATAGACATGTTTTTAGGGATCTAAGAGTATTGGTAAAACCCCCTCTTATTCACTTTCAAAAATGTTACAGATGAAATAGCACACGCGAAAGAATAAAAATCTAACCTAGTTGTGTAGATGATATGGCCATCAGGATAAATCCAGGCTGATGTCTGCTGCCCTGGAAATGTATCTTGTTTAACTCCCTTTTCTCCGTCAAAAAATATGTCTGGTCTCCAAAAGAATTTGGTAGCGTCTCCTTGTAATGCTATAACATCATCGTCTGTTGTGTTACTAAACATTAGCCTTCTATCCAGCCATTTCATAATGACGTCCACCTCTATATATATATGCTAAAATAATTGAATTAGACACTGAAATAAATAAAAATCACAGAATCACGTAGAAAGGAAAATCAAATATTTTAAAAAATAATCAACTAGCATCAACCCAAAAAAGAAAAATTGCGATACATGATTGCACTGTCTCTCCACTCGTTTTACGAAGTCTTTGGCCCTATTTTGATGTTGGCATTGGTTAAGAGACAATAACGGCAGTATTCCAAGTTGGTTGTGTCTAACAAAGTGCTTCTGTTGCAAAGCATTATGAGCAATTACACAGCCATCGCTGAAATTTTTTTGAAGCTTCTCAAAATAGGTAGATGAATAATTCATTAAAATTTCTACCGAAAGCACTAGGTTTAAACACAAGCTCGCCGATAGGAGGTCCTTTGAAAATGTTTATGGGTCTTGTAAAGAACAGATAAAGATAAAGAGTTCACTCAACAATTTATATCAGTTTTTTAAAATAGTCATGATTTTTTGAATGCTTAGAAAAAATTGGCCTATACCAATTAAGGCCATAACTGTAAAAAAGAGTATAACAGGCAAAAATATCAATTAATCTTTTTTTGGCTAAAAACGACAATTTCAGAAACTGATAAAAATGACATAATTGCAATGAAAGGAACCATGGCTAAAAAATACCCACTTCATTGATAAAGTTTAGAGGAACCATGTTCAAAATATGAGTTGCCACTTTGACATTAACAGCTTCTCCTAGAAAGCAATTGTTATTATTGTTCAAATAGCGTTGAATAAAATTGTTTCCGGTAGTATGATTTTAGTTTAGATATCTTTAGCGAAGGAAATTATATTACACACACTGTAGATTTTGATGAGGATAAACCAAATATTACTTTCACCGAACATCACTCTTTAGTCTTCCTTTGCATTTAGTGGAAGAAACTCGTAGGCGTTTCATAGGCTTGCAAACAGTGGAAGAAACTGGCCTTCTTAGGGCGGTGGGTTTCTCCATATGGTCTTTCCTTTGATATTTTCAGTGGCAAAGTATCCCCATTCCACAAACCCCTCCTCCCATAACTGCTTGAATTACCAACAACGTTAAATGTAACTTAACAGGACAGGTAGAAAGCCTAAGCGAGAAATCCTTTGAAATTTCCATTTTATCAATCATTGGTTTTGACAATAACTTTCCAATCCACTATTATAAAATATTCGTTTGCTCACAATTTGTGCTCTGCAGGTACTATCAAAGCTTTGTAACACAACCATTCACAGATTTAGGTGTTTCACAAAAACTGTTGCAATCAAGCTGATTGCATCTACATCTTTTATCACAACTCTTTTACCTCAATTTCTAATTAAAAATTTTTTTTGTGAGACAGAGCTTAAAAATTGCTTTGAAGATACAAATCATTAGAAATATGCTGAAACTTTTCGTCTGACACCCTTCAGAATATAAGACATCAAAAAACGTATATCGAAAACTCTCATCTAGGAAGAAATAAAACAAACTTTGGAAAGGCCAATTGCGTTTCTGATTCAGCAAGTTTAAAAATGCTTAATGTTTTTAGACCCATGATTAAAATTCAGTCAAGCGTATTGTTCATTGTGCGAGGAAAGTTGAAATAAAAAAAACTTAAAAGTGACTTTGCATATATGATAACTAGGCGCTGCGATGTTGCAAATGAACTTTTATTCTCTTCAATGTTCCTTTTGGATAAAGAGTCATACTCAAAACATCATAGCATCTGATTATTCCATAAACAAAGTCACTTTTGTTAGTTATTTTTATTTCATTTCTCCTTTACCTCTGTTTCTTGGAGCCAAATTAAGTTTTTGTTTCTTGTAAGACTGCAATATTTCGGATATCCTTGTTGAATTCAATGCAGGTGATACGCCACTAAAACACAGAATATAAGATTAATAAAAATCTTATTTTCTTTTGATTTGATATTTACTATACTTTTGGGCATCATAAATGACCTTGTGACGGCTCAAAACATGGCACGACAATACTGAACCGACAATACAATACAAAACACGAAAGCCATAATACTGAACACCCTTAATGTTAAGAACCTTTTAAAAAATCCTTCTTTAAAAGATTCGATGGAACCTATATCTAGGCACCTATATCTGACATAGCTAGATAGATTGAGCAGACTAGGTGTTAGAATTCCTGTTATGTTTTTCTATTTCTAAAAAGCACCTCTTTATGTTTTGGCATATGCGGGGGGGAAATAAAAAAGCTGGTACTTACAAGAGGTTGGTAACAGAATTAGTTTAAAAAACAAATTACCGGTTGGAAATCAACGATGCGTATCTCGAGCTTATTTTCTTATAAAAAATGACTGCCTCTATTTTTCAGTAATCTTGTTGTGTTCTGGCTACTTACTATACTTAATACTTAAACTATACTTAATAGTAACTATACTTAAACGAGAAACTTTAAACATCAAAAGAGCTGAATCCAAGAACCTGATAGATTGTGGAAGTAAAGTAGAGGAAAACATCAAGATATAAATGCACAATAAATGTTTCGTACATAAACTTCCTAAAAAAGTCCTTCTCTTGTCTATTATTGTTTCAACAATCATATTGTTTCATTATCAATGTATGTGCATCATTAAATAATTATCTTTTTTAATAGAAATTCTACAAAATTTTCCAGCCTTTATCTGCTTAAGGAATGTTCATTTTAACCCTGAGTATATTCTTATTTTTTTTTTCAGTTCTGATATGGTTTCAGGGGAACATCACCATCTTTTGAATTAAAACCATGCTTTTTTAAAAATGAAATATGTCAGTTCTGCGATTCCTTATTTTGAACATCGCAAAACAGGCACCTGCTGAAAAATGAGACACCAATATACGAGCTGGAGCTGTTTAATATGCTTATAATATTATTAAAAATTTGATGATTCTGAGCCTGAATATCTATAAAACAATATCATTACAAATGAAGAAGATTTTAATGTATCATACCAATTGTTGTCTACAATTTTGATTTTGAGAGAAATGATTTTAAACCCAAAACAGATTGTCTAGGCTGCGGTTGATGAACAGGTAAAAATTACTCGAAGTTCGTGGCTTTTGCTTCTTAAATAATAATCGTATTTAAGGCTGTTCTTGAGCAAAATGTAGTAGAAAAAGTGCAAGAAAAGGCTCAATCAAGTAATTACAAAACAAATAAGTTACTCACCTGATTATAAAGAGAGCCACCAGAGTTTGCACGATTCTTCCACCCATTACCGCCAATAAAACAGATTCTATATTGATTTTCAGCATGTATTCTTAATTAACTTTCCTTAATTTCATCACATGCAATTAACTTTCGTGGCATAAATAATGTTCTTTTTTCGTAAATATTCTTCAAAAGCGTTTAGCCAGACTCTGCAGCAAAGTAGTTCAGGTCAAAGCACCCTTTGTTGAGATTTGATTATAAAATCTTTAATAAGCCATGAGAATGACTTCCAGCATCCCATTGTTAACATTGAATTAAACACGAAGAGCTATTAACAGCAACTGGTGACCTAGAATTCACAGCTTCTGCGTGACACTCGATGTGATTAAAATTCATCAACTTCTCAAACATACCAATGAAGCCCCAACCAGATAAATTTGATAAATATCATCAGGTGTTTGCATACTGCTTAAAGTGAAACACGAAAAACATCTTCAGGTGAATGAGAACACGCAATTTACAGCCATGCTTTTACCTTTAACTCGCAACAGGTTATTTGCTAAATAATGACTAACAACATTTCGCAATCTACACAACCGTTTATATTCGTTATACACAAAGCAATCACTTGTCGTATAAAGAGCTAAATAACCAAATTAGGCACATGACAAAATTTAATTGCTTTTTAAGCTATGAATACATTCAAGCTAAACTCACTGGTTTGCCTTGAAGAGAATCGCAAATTACGTCACAGCTCAAATATTCTTTGAATTCAAGTAAAGAAGGTTTGTGACCAATGTTATTATTTATGTTTGAAGAATATTATAAAAACAACTGTTAACAAGAATAATTCAGATTTATCGCAGGTGAAATCTAGACTGTTATGAAAACAAAAACATCACAAATCGCAAACTTCTAATTGGAGAGTATATAATGACAGAAGGTGCTTTAAAAGTTGACTTTGAAGAATACAGAAGAAATGTAGATTACATTTTTTTTATAAGAAAATATGCTAGGGACTAGAACACAGCTTCTTAATTATTGAATTCCATGTTTAAAGTTTCTTGAAGGGTTCTTACAAAACGTAGCGTGATAAAACATCAAACAGAGCACCCTATAAGTTACAAAGCGTTCATCTTTCTATCTATCCATTTCACTTAAATGGGAAATAGGTGCCTAATGGCAAAAAGAATCACCTCCAACAGGCAAAAAACGATTCTTAACAAACTCTGCTAGAGCTTGTACATGACATTGGTTTTAGATTTTAGGCAGGTGAAGACTTTACTAAGTCTTGGTGGTGTTGCTTAAAAAATATACCTGCTTGTAAAAACACAATTGTCCACTTCTTATTGCAACGAAAAAAGGATTAGCTTATACCACAACCATAGAAAAAGAAATAGAAAATTACCATCCAATAGAATCATCTAACTAAAAAAATTACCTGTCCGTGAAAAGACACTGCTTAACCCAATTTACGCTTTACTTACACTAATGAAATTTTCTACGTTCTGTCATAGAGTGATCAATGACCTAAAGGAAACGTTGTTCTATACACGCCGTCCTGTTCTATACAAACCAAACTGTTGATTTACAACAGGACAATTTTGTGTTTTTAAACTACACTTGTTACCAATCACTTGTAAATAGGAACAGAAGACAGAGGACAGTCCTCTTTCTCTTGTCCTAGACTTGTTTCTTTTCTAGATTTCTACTCCCTGATATCGTTGCCTGACATCTAATGTGAGACAGAAATTTGACTTTCCGTTGTAGATTCTTTTTAAATGGAATATTGTAAATTTTTGAACTGAAAGTGTCCTTCATGCAAATTTAAAAGTACCAGAAAGAAGATTCAAATGAAAAGTTACTGAACACTATACTTGCACAAATAAAATACGATCACAATAACTTGCTATTTTCAAACTTATATCAGTATTATTGCTAGATCCATCAGCTGTTGCTGTTTCTAAACTTATGTTAGAATCATATCTAGTTCTTTGAGTTGTTTTAAGCAAATCATTTGCAAACACGTATGGAAAAAAAAGAAAATGTGTGCGTACGCAAGCAAATAGCCTAAATTAGCTCACTAGATTTGACAAATTAGATCTTAGTAACTGAATGCAGTACTTGGAAACGCATATCTTTTGTGACGTCAACTCAACAGTTAAACACATCAAAACAGCATTCATTGATGAAAAATTTTGATTAACTACTCAAGTTTTGTTATATTTGTACAGAATTTGAAGATGTATGCATATTCTTATTTCTAAAATCTACATGTAATAGAGGCACTACATCTTTACATTCTTATTGAATATGCAAGTTTGTTTAGCGATTTTATCAATCAACCTGGCATTTAAATTTATTTCTCTAATGCTTGTATCATTAAAAGATCTATCAGTTCATGGTAAATGTTTATTTATTATAAAATTGTTTTTTGATGTAAAGTTGTTTTTATACGCCTTTTTCTCTCCATTTGCAAACCTGCTAATATTTGAATTGTCAATGAATTGAGTTTGACTTGAGAAAGGGAGACTATCGGGAAGGTAAAAGGGATAAAACTCAAATAACAGAAAGTCGGCTCCTTGGCGTGAATCGAATAAATCGTATGATTACTTCGGTTATTCTTTGAACGCCTATTTCGCAACCCGCACTGCCTCTTTTTGATAAATTATGCATAGGCTACTGTTTTTCTACAACGAGTTGACAATGTCTAGTACACTGTGGTCCAATGTCTACAACGAGCTTGCTGTGGCCCTATTATTCCAAGGTGTCATGAAAAGATTGACCAATGTTCGATGTGGCGCCTTAATGTGGTACCACGAATAATTTTTTGTTTCTTTTATTTGTTTCTAATTAGACAGTGATGCTTTTTGTTCTAGCTTTAAAATATTCATATTTTTTGCATCCCACTTATACAGCCGATGGGTCGCCTAGTTCAACACCCCTAACTTAAAGAAAAGACCTGGATCATAGACATTTATTGTGGTGCAAGGTTAAAGTAAATAAGTTAACGATGTGGGTGCACTTAATATTGATAATCTCCTATGATTAACAGATTTTTATGAAGCTGAAATTGGAAAATTGTGTTGACAATTAGTGACAAAGGTAACAGCGACCCCGACCCACCCCGATTACTATAATCTCTAAAGCACGGTTATCCTTGAAGATTGATAAAGCAAAATTATTTGCAATGATGGTCATAGAAATTCTATCCGCTAATTTTTTGGTCATAACTTATAAACTAAATCCGTTGAGAGAATAGCGGGGGGGGGGGGTTGATCTTTTGGCACTATTTGGTGATGTGATTCTGTATTTTTGCAAAAATTGGTCATTGGCGTTCACTAGTGATAAGAGGGCCGTACCAAATAATGGGCATGACTTAGACAGGCATTATTTTGCTCCCCTCCCACAACTAAGTAGCCACTACCATCACCGTCTAACTTGGCAACACCAAAATATACCAACGCCTTAGTGGTGTAATTTCATCATAAATCCAAAAGAGATGGATTTAGTTCCTTTTGAAAAATAACATTGAATTGCTTTCATCTCGCAATAGAAGCTTTTTATTTAAAGAACTGGATTATAAGAAACTAGTACTAGGATGCAAAAAAATTAACAAACTTTAGAAATAAAGCTCAAGAAAAATGAAAATCTATAAAATTTCTATTTTGGAAAAAAGTCTCAGAAAGTTATTATTTTGTTGATTTTTCTAAAGATAGCAGTTTTGGATTTTGATCTGCATGGAATTTTTCGTGACAATCTGCGAACAAAAATTTTCAGCTGCTAAATCTAGTATGTTTTAGAAAAAAATGTATGCTTTATTAACCTATAATTTACCTTGTTATACTGTCCAGAGGCGGATTTAAGGGGGGGGGGCAACTAGGGGCAGTTGCCCCTCCCTCAACGAGTTGAAAGTCTGGCGCCTCTTTTTGGAAATTGTGCGCCCCTTTTGAAGAATAAGAATCAGATGGAAAAATTTATTGGACCGAAAGGTTAATTTGTTTCAAGGATTACCTCAAAGTTATGTTGTTTATTCTGAAAAAGGTATCTGAAATTGTTGTATACAGCGTACTCTCGTAACCAATATTTGAAAGTTTTTCAGCGCCCCCACTACCAACTGCCCCTCCTTCAAATTTGCTCTGGATCTGCCCCTGATTATGCCATTTCAGATATTGCTGAATATCTTTAAATAAATTTTGGGATCTGAGGGGCAATCGTGTATATTTATTTGGTCTGGATTAGCTAACAAATCAGTTTTCACAAATTATCTAAAACATGTTGCTTTGATTTTTTTGCCGAACTCAGATCCACTTCTGTTTGCTCTATTAAGCCTGAAATACACAATCAGATTTTATCAGTTTTTTGACTGACAGTTTTACAGTTTTTCAAAAATCCTCCTTAGCAGAAGTCCTCTATACATGATCAGTTTAATTCATTCTTTGACTTACAGCTCACTCTGTTTTGATATGGAGCTTGATCGTGAACGAACTGCAGTTCTTTTCGCTACAGCTTTGCTCGTCAAGAAAAGGCGCAAATACCGAAAAATAAAAAAGATATCGTTTTCAAACTAGTCGTAATTCGAAACTACTTTTGAGTCTGATGTCACATTGCATAACATTTTCCCGTACTTCCACGCTTATATAAATTCATCTGTGTTTGTAACTTTTCCACATTTTGAAATCAAGGCTGCTCTGAAAAAATTAGCATCTTGCGCTAGGGTATTAGAGTGGCCCCGGATTAAAACAATATAGTCTGCACCAATGAATAGAAATCCCAATCAGTTTTTAACTGAAAACTGTCAGTTAAAAACTGATAAAAACTGATCGTATATTTCAGGCTTTAGAGATCTTCGTACGCTAAACCTTTCTGCGTGTGCGATTTTGAGTAACATTGTACATCATAGGTAAAAACAGGGTTTTAGTTTTAGTGTCTTTGCAGCGTTTCATCCGGCTTTTACTGTTTAATTTGTGAATCGAAATAAAACATTGATCACAGACCAAGTAGCCTGTGGGCAGACTCAGAAGACAAAGCGCCTCCTAAGCATTCTGATTGAGACTAATAGCTTGAGCGCCCTGTGATCCAGTCTTTGAAGGCCTGGGCTCTAATAAATATCGTCCTCTATCCCGAACGCTTCCATCATGGCGAACCCAATCAGCAAGAAAAGAAAGGTAAGACCCGTAGTTTCACCCTACTGTATGCTCTCATGCAATTAATACAAAGCTCGACAGATAATTTAAAGCTTTTTGATGTGAAATTTATCACGCTTTAAAGAAAATTAGAAGCAAGCTTAAAGATTATTGTGGATTGAAATCTGGTGTCCAAATCAGAGAAGCAGTGAATAGTTAAAGTTAAATGTTTTATTGGAAAAAGCCCCAATTTTTGTTCGATTTGAATTAGTATTTTTAATTCTCTTCAATAGCACAGTCTCTTTATTCCCTTAAAGAATGTCGAGAGTATAGGGCTAACTCTAAACCACTTTTCTAGTGTTAAATACTATTACAAATTCATGTTGGATATTCGAAAAAAATTATATGTATGCTATGTAAAACTCATTCGAAAACCTTTTTATCTTGTTTGTTTCAAAGTTGACACGCAAAGAGTTTAATGGCTTTTTCCAACTTAGTTTGTAGCTGATGGCGTTTTCAAAGCAGAATTGAATGAGTTCCTCAAAAGAGAGTTGGCAGAAGATGGATACAGTGGAGTTGAAGTTCGAGTCACTCCAATTAGAACAGAAATTATCATTCTAGCAACAAGGACACAAAGTGTGCTTGGAGAAAAAGGTCGAAGAATCAGAGAACTCACTTCGGTTGTCCAGAAAAGATTCAACTTTCAAGAGGGGACTGTTGAGGTATGTGTGAATACAGCTTAAGTGTATTTAGAATTTCCCTGTGCCAATCCACATCAATTTTCATGCCCACATAAAACTGCTTGCATTTCAATTATTAATTTTTAGTAAAACAGTTTTTAATAAGGTGACATATGTTCCAGAAACTTAATATTTTCAATTTGCAAAAATGCCATCATGTTCATAAGCCTCAACTTCTTCAACCAACTTGAATGTTTAAAAGTGAAATAAATTCAGGAATTTCGAGCTTTTCAAAACTTGAGTGAAATTGTATATATATATTTACAATGTTTTTGTGCTTACTGCACTGGCATAGAATGCCTGTAAACCATATGCAAAATTCTATGCCAATTCATACTGCTATTTATTTTTTGCTATTTTTTGCAAGAAGTGTGCTCACCATATAAATATGGCAAATGCACCTCTTGAAACCATTGATGGAAATTATCTTCTCCTTGAGCAACTGGTGGCAAAACTGCACCTATGTAATTAAAAAGTATATATATTATATAAATATTATATATATATAATTATATATATATATATAAATATATATATATATAATACAATAATTGAATCCGACACTCAAAACCTTGGATTCAATTTGTCCTCATTGGTCAGACATTTTGCAAATGAAAAAAATTGCTCTGTTTGTTGGCACATCACAGATTTAAAGGTGAAATGCAGAATATTTCAAGCCAAACTAGACACTTTGTCTGAAATTTTGCATTATTATCACCAATGTGGAAAACAAGATAGTTAGTCAACTACTGTATACTTGATTCCACTACCTTAATGTCAGTTTTAATCATTTTTAAAATCATTTTCTGCTAAACTAGCATTCCAAGTTTAGATCTTTCTACAGAGCTGGTTTGAAGCCCCAAAAACTATTTTTATCTCTTGTACAGCTTATTTAAACTTCTCAAATTTCATTTAATGACAGTCTGTCCCCTATTGTGCTCAACCCTATCTTCACAGGAGTGAAATTCATCCACTGTTGAGCTTTTTTGATGATTAAACTATTTAAACCAACCAGAGACAACTTTGATTCCAGAGCTTTTGAATCAAATGGCCGTGTTCCCATTGTAGTGAAGCTGTGACCAGAAAAATATGGCTCCCTATTTGGTCTCTGCGACAGATATGTCAACAGCAAAAGCAAATGCTTCCATTATGATCATTCAATTCCAGGAATAAAATCTTTTTGCCCTTCCTGATAGCTTTTTCGCTCGCAGTTTCAAATGTCGTCCACTACCGCACCTAAGCCAGCCAAAGCAAGCATCACAATCAGTTATCCGTTAAGGCAGGAAGACCTATTGTTCATCTTAGCCAATCATTGAGGGGACAGACTGCCTTTAAAGCTCACAGCAAAATAGACAGCAAAATTTATATTATGTACAATGTATGTTTGCTTGAGAATGAATCTTTTTCTTTGTTTTGTTGTAGCTTTATGCAGAGAAAGTTGCCACTCGTGGACTCTGTGCAATTGCCCAATGTGAATCTCTTCGATACAAGCTACTTGGTGGTCTTGCAGTTAGAAAGTAAGTTCTTTACCTTGAGAACATTTAAAAAGCATTATAATGCATGAAATATGAATTTGTAGGGATGGGGTAGTTTGAAGGCCAAAATAGGTTTTTTAGCAAATAATGCAAAGGTGAAAGTCATTGATGATGTGATCAAGCTCCTCAAAGACAGATTGAAAGAGTTTCAAGAAGCAGTCTGCGACCAGATGAGAGTATTCAATCCAAAAATTAGACAAATGAAGGCTTGCTTCAATGAGGACAAAGTTGTTCTCTAATGAAAAAGGTAAATTACATCAAAATATGGATAAAAATGTCGATTTTGAAGAGCTTTAGAAAAAGATCTGAACATTCAAGTGGCCAGAATTTCCCAATGTTTTTTCTCTTGTTGAGGTCTTCATTGGATCCAGTTCGACTGCTGAGACTGGGTTTAGCTAATTAGCTAGAATTTCGACCAACAAATGCTTTTTGATGAAACATAAAAAGAAGGAAAAAATATTGATTTTAAGTGAGAATGACAAGAACAGGACAACATATATAAATGTATTTTCTTTATTTTTCTGAAGCAAACATTTTATTAAGGGCTTATTTTCCTCCCATTTCACTATATATATATATATATATATATATATATATATATATATATACCGTAAAAGCTCTATTAAGCCCCCATGGGGCTTTTTTATTTTTTTCAGTCCTAGAAGGGGGCTAATTAGAGAGAGGGGGCTTATTAAAAAAAGGGGGCTTATTAAAAATTTGAAGTAAAAAATGTTTTAAAAATGCCCTTGTCTATTTCTTTGTTATATATATATAAAAATATCATACAAATTTTGTCAGAAAACTTCCCTAGCAGCTTCTAAATTCTAATTAATCACTCATAAGGTCCTCATCCTCATCAGAATCACCAGGGTCAATTGATAACCCTGGTACATCTTCTAAACAAATTTCTACTGACCTCTAAGGCACACAAGTTAATATTTACCTGGACTGTACTTAATGCACACAATCTTTTTATCATGGCACTTGTCATGAGACCCACTAAATGGTAGGGATGTACCGGATATCTGGTAGGCCGGATAATCCGGCGCAGGATCGCTGATTTTTTGAAAATCCGGTTCCGGCCGGATTTATTTCTGAAATCCGGCCGGATTTTCCAGAATTTTAATCATAACTAAGAAAATTTGGAAAACCAAGTCAGACTCTCTTCATATAGTGATTAAAAATGGATTTTCCAGAACTAAACAAGATCGACGATAAAACAAGCGCCTTGAAAACAGATTTGAAATGAAAGTGCTCGTCATCACGGAACAGGAAGACTGGATGATATAATTCACAAATTTGGTCCAGGGTTGCCAGATTTACTTTTTTGGCCAAATTTTTCATTTTTGGTTTTTAGATTTAGATTGCCTGGAAAAATTGTTTTTTGCTTACTTCTTAATTTTGACCTTGTTGGCCTTTTCAGCAGAACGTCTAAAATTAATGAGTAATTACTACATTCATGGAATAATTAGTAGTTAACTACAAAGTGTTAACCAAATTTCAAATTTTATCACCTAACCTAAATATTATCTTGATATTAGCAAAGGGTTTTGGAAAAAAGTAAGATTCTTATCTAAGTTAAGAAATTATCTAACAGTCACAAGCGTAGAAATATAACCAGTACCTGCACAATGGATTCTTGAGTACGTTTTTGATTTGGCCTCTTTGTGAGCATTTTGGCTTAAATTGCTCACCAATCTAGCCTTCGTTTGTAAATTCAATCTGGCAACCCTGAATTGGTTTCTTTGATCTTCTCGCTATGCATTTTTTCGCAAAGTGGTATAAAACTTTTTATTACTGAAAAATCCATAAATGGCCAGATTATCTGGTAAAATCCGGCCGGATATTCTACAAAGAAATCCGGTAAATCCGGTTCCGGCTGGACTCTGAAAATCCTGATCCGGTACACCCCTCCTAAATGGGCATGTTTTCCTCGTTTGAGAACAAAGGCTTTTATTTTTTCAGTTCTAGAAGAGGGGCTTAAAAGAGAGTGGGGGCTTATTTTAAAGTTTTGCTAAATAAGGAGTGGCTTGATAGAGAGGGGGCTTAATAGAGCTTTTTGGGTATATTTACTTTTGAGATGGGCACTTGACATATAAGTTACATATATATGTATTTGTATATACTTCTACTTATTTTGCATTTTTAAATATGTATATTTAAAAGCATTCTTTGTCTTCTAGAGCCTGCTATGGTGTTGTTAGGTTTATCATGGAGAGTGGGGCAAAAGGCTGTGAAGTAGTGGTTTCAGGCAAACTTAGAGGCCAAAGAGCCAAGTCAATGAAGTTCACAGATGGCTTCATGATCCACAGTGGTCACCCAATTGAAGAATACATTGATATGGCTGTGAGACACGTATATCTTCGCCAAGGTAGGAGGAAATCTCAATTTATGGCAGTCAGTCTGATTTTCTTCATTTTTATTATAATTTGCATGTGCTGAGCAAGCCTTTTTGTTTAAGGAAAGTGATCACTCGCGATCACATCAGCACTTATGCAAACCCAACCACCCGAGCATTTAATTGCTTGCCCAAAACAGCAAATTGTGAGGAATGAACGTCTCATCAATGCAGATTGCTAGGCATCTTTATTTAGACAGCTTGCAGCTCCTTAGAATGATGGATGCCTGACGAACTGATATTTCGCATACAACTTGCACCAAATCCTTGTTACATATTGCTTATGGGCGTGGACTTAAATAGTATAGCGTAAAATGTTATTGTTGCCCCATTTCAGGAATAAGGCGAGCTTCTTTGTGACCCCTTTACTTATCTTTAGATTAGAAGAAATATAGCACAAATCTTGTTTAAACTGGAAGCCTTTTGTTTAAAAATTCAACTTGATTAGCCATTTGAAAATGGTATTTTAGAAACATGTGCATGCTAACACAGCTCTTCAAAATTATAATGTTGACCCAGTACCTGTGGACAAAACCTGTGAAACACATAGAAATAAAAAACACAAAACGAATTTTTGTTTTTTTTGTCACCTTATTAGTTTCCAATGCTTTGGTTAACAAACAAACGAATGATTACAAAAATAGGTTTTTCGGTTAAACACACTCCTCGGTGTGGGGAAGCGTGTACCACCCATGCAAGTGCAATTGCACGCCTTTCCCGGGAATGCTTAGTGTAACTGAACTAGAACTGCTGTCAGTGTCTCGAGTTTGTGAATCTCAAACATAGAAATTTGTAGCTTCAAATGAAAAGCGAGGTCATGTAATGTACTTTATGAAAGTGAAGGAAAAGGTCATATACCTTTATTCTCTTTTTCCTAAAGAGAGACGGGTAGGGGATAAAAGTTGACAATGCTTGACACAAGGAATATTAATTTATGAAAGTATGTTGTTATGATATGTACCTTATTATAGTTGGCTTTGGTGTGACAAGACTGTTCTAAGATGCAACATGGAATTTAATGCTTAATGCGATCATCAATCAACTGTTGCAGACATTTGTAAACGTGCATGTATAGTATATATATATACATAATTGATTGTCCATATATATTGATATTTATTGTCTTCAGCGGTTGAATTGCTATTCTTTTTCAAGGGGTACTTGGTATAAAAGTGAAGATCATGCTTCCATGGGATCCTCAAGGAAAGACAGGACCAAAGAAATCTCTGCCAGACCATGTTAGCATTGTAGAGCCCAAAGATGACTTCTTACCTACACAACCAACATCTGAGCAAAAGGGTGGAAAGCCAGAGGCTGAACAACAGCAAGTGAACCCAGTAATGTAAGTATTGTGGTTGATTTAGCTAACTGTAAGAAGTGGTAAAGAAATGCATTAGATTTCCCATCAAGGGTTTGACACCATCATGATTTGACTAAGCTATAGGGTACTTATTCAGAACTTGATAATAAAAATGCAAACTTCGTAAAGGCTTTTCAAGTTAATGCAATATGTTTTATAAAAGATTATTGTGCTGCATGCTGGCCATAAGGGTGAAGATCAGTGAATAATTCTTCTATTATTTTGAAGTGAATGCATTTGGCCAAAAGGCCGCTGATAAAAAAACAAGTAATTGATTGTACATAATGGATGTGTACATGAGCTGCAGTGATAGAGATTGCATGCTTGGATCATGCAGATTTATTTGGTTGTGGTTGAATTTTTTTTAGTATATGTATTATCCGGTACATCCCTAGTTTATATAATAGGAACAGTTTAAAATCCACACTTAACTTAGGCCATAAACTTAAAGAGTTGCATTCATTATTTTTGTCAATTTTTCTTTTGGAAGCCAATGTATTTTCTTGGACCATTGATTTTTGAAAAAGTAGGACCTATCCTGATATTCTCCACCACATCTTGACTAGTAACATTGTGACCTTCTCGATTATTTTGCCTCTTAAAAAACCAGTTAATGTTGGTTAAATGGGTTTTTCATTCATTTCCAGGTAAAAAGACACACTGAATTGAAAAGACCATTATAATGAAATGAAAAGTATTTTGTGTTTTTTTGTATTCTTTCTGACATTTTCTTGAACTGTAATGCAATCTTTGTAAAACGTTTTCTGTTTCTGGCTAAAGATGATGTATATAAGTTTTAAAGCTGGCTAAAGGAGCACTTTTTAATCTTAGACCCCATTAACACTAGTCCTGGGCAAATACTATCCAGCTGTAGTTTGTATTTATTGGCTGTATTTACATTGGACCTAGTCTTTTCGAACAAATTTTATCACTTTCAACTCAAGGGGGCTCCCAGCAGAATGAAGAGAGAAATAGTATGACCTGGTTTCTGTTACTGTCTTATGTAATCATTTGCACATGCTGAACTGTTCCAGTCTAGTCTAAAGCCAGAATTGGATAAAAATAGTTGGATCTAGAATTCAGTACAGTACAAAAATGATCTGGATAAATGAACTTCTTTGTGGAAATGTGTTAAGCAGAGCCAAAGCTCTTGGTAATGCAAAAAGGAAAATAATAGTTGTCTTGATCAGGGAATCTGGCTCGATTTTTTCTTGGCACTCTTATCCAGTTACGTAATTTTATAGGGAATAACTGAAGCAAATTTCTTCCTCAAGAATTAGGAGCAACTTAATAACCTCTTGATTGTACTGATTCCAGACAATGGTCAATTGACATTTCATGTGTTGAGAATCCTGTTGAACTCTGGGATGTTTCAATGGTGTTATCAGGAAAAAAGGCTCTAGTTTTATATCCAAAAGAGCTTTGTTGTTAAAAAATTCTGGCTAGTTATTTATACCAAGTTATTTACTGGGTTTCTTGAACTTTCTGCCAAGACATCTTTGATCCCAAGAGGAGGAGAACCAAGAAACAAATACTAACAGGTTGAATAAAAATTGCTAGTCACTGCTTGATGATTTGAGAAAAGAAATGTAGAAATTTGTTGGTACTTTTTCTAGATAAAGTGAAGTTCAAAGAAGCACTTCAGGCTAATTTGATAAGTTTTTGCAGAAAATACTGTAAGGTGGAAGACAAACTGTAGGCTAAAGCTGCCAGCATTCTTATCCATGAAAAAGAACTCACATGTAGAATGGGAAAAATATATATACGTATAATTGTATCCAGTTTAGCCTAGGGAACCTGTCCCATGGTCCAGAAAACCAACCTGTTATTGTTACTCTTCACAAACAATTGGAGCAAACACTGGGAATATAAGATATTTTGGGAAGCAGTAGAATTAGGTCATTTAAACAACAATTGTAGGAGTAGGAAGAAAGTATTTCTATTATTTTGAAAGAAAACATCTTAAAACATTGTTTTATCATAGTTTATACAAAATATGGAAAGAAAGGGAAATTGATTTTGGAAAAAATTTGACTTTCTTTACCAAAGAAGTCTATGTAGCAATGTACATACCAAATTAATTCAGTTCAGTTAAAGGCAGCCTAGGAGGACATCCTCATCCATCTCTTGGGTTCAATTTTGTCATTTATTTAGAAAAGTGAAGTGAGTTTGGAGAGGGTTTAAATGAGTCTGGGTGGATGTGTTTCTCTATTGGTAGTACAGGGAGCTCATATCGGTAAAATGGTGATTTCTGATAGTAAAAGAGTTTGGCCTCAAATTTCTATCTTCCCCAAACCCTAAACTCCCCTTGGACGCTGGCTTGCCACTGGGTTCAGTGTACATGCTGACTATACACATGCATCTCGTGTCTGAAAAAAGATTCCTTAACATCCAAAAATGCCCCAAACATGGAAACATCATCAATATATTACAAGTTTTAATTAAACAACTGCAAATAATTATCTAACAAAAACTTTTTATCCCCCCTGTCTTCATTTACTTTATTTATTTCAGCACAGCTACATTCATTTTACAATGAGGTATATGATTATTATGTGAATTTGGCTAAGCATTCTGATATTCCAGCTACAAATGGTGTTCTCTGGCAAATTCCAATTCTTTCCAAATCTGAGCAATCAAATTCACAATCAAAAGGTCGTTTTGCACCTGGGCTTGGATTATTATCAGCAGTAATATGTTGAGTTGATAGTCCAAAAATTTCACCCATTATTTTTACCATCTGGTATTTTGTTAGCTTATCATCACTTCTCCAGTGCCAGATACCACTGAAAGTATCATCCTCCAGACGTCTCTCAGCAATTTGTCTACACACAGTGGCAATGTCCTTTACTGATGTAGGATACCGCCATTCATAGTTTGACACATTGGCTTCCTTTTTATTCTTAATCAGTTCAAAAAGACCTATGAAAAGAAAAATTAAATTTTTTACGTATGTTACTAAAATAATATCAGTTGTCTTATCTTGTTGGCAAATGTTTTTTAAAATAACTGGGTATATATTCAAAACTCTGAATTTAATGTGTGCTTCTTATTTTCCAGCAAGGTTTGCTTTGTAGGGACCATTCTCAATAGTTGTAGGCCATTTCAAAGTCATAATACTTTGTAATGGCCATTTACATAATCAAATCGTCCATTGTGCTATCAATTACATCAAGCATTGTCTTCCTTTTCACATAAATATAACCAATTTTAATTCCTATAGAGTTGCCATCTTTTTACCAACTCTCTGACATATAATAGGTGTGCATTATCTCATAATTGTGATGCCTGATGGGTCTTACTTAGAATATACCCTTAGAATATACTCTCAGCAGTTACAATAGACATGAAGTACTATAATACTAGCAGCAAATAAAAATTTGAACATTAAACTATTTACAAAACTGATAAAGTACCTGTTACAGCACTTTCCTGAAGATATTCAATAGGACCATACAAAATGGGGACTCGTAAAACGCCACAGTTGGGTAGGTACTTCAGGGTTGCATTTTCACCTTCAAGTTTACTTTGGCCATACTTATTCAACGGATTGGGCTTGTCAGTGGGTTTATAAGGTGGACTTGTACCGTCGAAAACATAGTCAGTGCTTATATACAATGTGAAAGCACCTTCCTTGGTAGCGCACTCAGCAATGACTTGCGATGCTGTAACATTCAAAGAAGCAGTATCTTCCTCGTGTCTTTCAACAAAATCTGGTCTTCTTTCGGCTGCTGAATGAATAACAATGTTTGGTTTGAATTCATGAATAACAGATTCTACTTCACGATTACTTCTCAAGTCAACCCTTCGCAAGTCATTCCCGGTACGGGTAAAAGCTAGACCAAGCACTTCCCAAGAATCTTTCTTGGACTTGAACTCGTCAAATATCGCTCTACCGAGCAGGCCTGATGCACCAGTAATCAATACTCTTTTATTCATTTTTACTCACAATCTCATCTGCAAGTAAAAACAACTCATCTGGACAAGGATATAGCCTCGTTTTGATTAACTCGTCCTGGAAAGAATTTCCACTCCAAAATGGCGAATGAACTTGTTACGAAGGATAAAATAGACGTACTAACAGATCATGGCTCGTGCGAGATACACTTGTCGTATGGCAGTGTTACAAAGCTTTCAAAGAAAGAGGAAGTGGATGTTTTAGTTGTTTCAGCCTTTCCAAGTGAGTTTTCGTGGAAAACATACCTGTCATTTGTCAAGGCTTGACTTGACGACAGACAAGCTACTGTAAAGTATGTCCTGTCCTGCCGTAAAATTTTGTATCAATCCATAGGTTTGTATATAAAGTGGTAATTAAACCATAATCAAAAAATGCTTTTTGCCAATACTTTTTGTCACTTAATTCGTTTCAAAGCAAATGCAGAATCAAAACACAATGTAAATATCACAATAAACACACAATGAAATGCAAAACAGCAGCATTACAACAACATCCCACTGTTTACAAAGGTTCACTGAAGAAATCAATTATCAAAACTTCAATCTATTGACAGTTAGATTACAACAACGAACATCTTTCAGTTTCAGATTTCAATATTTTGTAAATATTATGCCAGAATTGTGGCTAGAGCCTAGAGGGATAAGAGGGAACTTTCTTTAAATTGTTGGCCCCTCTAGTTTAGGATCACTGGTGCAGACCTTGTGATAGAAAAAAAATTTTGATTGTTTTCTAACGAAGGTGACAGGGAAATATTTTCAGCCTATGTGTTGTCAGTATAGCTTTGGAAGTCAGAACAATTTTCTGCTCGCAAGGAGCCTTATCTTCAGTTTTGCCACAGATACCCCATTTACACTGTTCCTTCCAAGTTTGGAACCGTGATAAAACTGTTGTGGTTCCCCCTTCCCTTGTCACTAGCACTGTGGAACCGGGATGATTTTGCTCTGCCACCCAGCACAGTTTTGACCCTGCTATGCAAGCAAACAAATTTTGTACCGTTTCAGTTCCGTTTTTAAACAGGACAGTGTAAACAGGGTCTGAAACTTTTTTGGCAGCCCTGATCTCAAGGGAATCACTCAGGAAATCCTCTTTGAATGAAAAGTTTGCACAGAAATCATGATATTTGGATGCAGCCTTAATTTTTCTGCACCAAATCAAATTAAGAATGTCTCTGTTCCATCTCTCTTTAATTGAACAATTTTGAGAATGAATGTGCAACGGCCAGATATTGAATGATTAATATACTTTTCCTTATGAGATGGAATATAATGATTAATATACTTTTCCTTAATTGCCGTCACAAAGCCACATGTGTGGTTTCTGCTTCTGTTTCTCTGTAAATTAGGATCACTGCAAATTAGCTTCTGTTGCTGGAAAAGCAACAGTGTTGTGCCAAAATCAACCATAGCATTGCTCTGTGTCAAAACTTTGTGCCAAAAAATTATCTTTGTCAGACTCTATGGCAAAGATCTTAGCATAAATGACACTGGCATTTTTCACAAATAGACACAACCAGCAATTTTTGTCATTGCTAACAAACTATCAAAGCTCATACATGATATTTGAAGGGTGTAACTGATGAGACTTACCAACAATAAATTTAAATTTGTAAATTTTTAAAAATAAGCTTTTCTAATTTTGGTTCCAATACTTTTGATGTTTTAAAAATTGCTTTTATGGGTTCACAAAACTGGTTCAAATTGGCATGATATTTTACTTTCACAGGGGGCCTTTTATGGTGAGGGGGGCCAAAAGCCATAAAGCCATGCAAGAATCAGGCAAATGCTATCTGCAACAAAGTGTATCATAAAGATATGACTGCAATGGCAAAGCATGCTGTGACAGCCAAAGCAAAACTACTCATGTATGAGAAAAGGGAAACATTTGTAGAAGTAACTGTATCAAAAAGTTCATAGTTTTTGCTGTGTTTCACAGAACAAGCTTTTGCATTGGTCCAAACTTTATGCAATATCTATTGACCACATATTTTTGTGGCAATGCAGCCACATCCTAAAGGCCATAGACTGTTGCCAATTCATAGTTGCTTCTTATGTAATAAAATACACAAGAGGCATCTTATGCTGAAGTCACAATCTGCAGAAAGCCTATTGCAAAATCTGTAGGTCTTAAAGCTGCAAACCTATAAGTAGCCCTCTTCATGATGCTACAGGCTTTCATGGGAAAAATGTAGCAGGATTGCTAACTATCACATGGCGGAAATCCTCCAGGCATGTGGTGGCCATAGGCATTTTTCATCAGCTTCAATAATGAATCCTTTAGTAGTGTCATTGAGGGCTGAATTTAAATAGAATTAATGGTCTGTGATCGAAAATGTCAACAGAAATCTTGATCACAGCACTTTATGTTCCTCTTAAAATTCAGGGCAAAAAGTTATTGTAGTCTTCTGTGTTTTTGATTTGTTTTCTGAAATTTCATAAAGCCATGAACAGGAAAAAGTTACTATAACTACTAGTTACTAGTTACTAGTTACTAAAGTTACAGTGTCCCTCTTAGCCCACTTGACACACCACCAATGGCAGTATGCATAAAATTTTTGAATTAAAATTTGAGTTTTTTTCAGATTTGTTATTTATCTTATGATCAAAAGCAAACAACTACAACGCTAGGTAATACTTGTACCTTTTTTGCAGATAATTATGTTGAAACACCTTGGTCAGTTATTGGTGCTCTGAGAAGAGACCTTGGCATTTCAGTCCAAGATTTGGCAAATGACAAGGAAGAGGATCTGCGTACTATTTTTTCTTGCTGGTGGTCAAGAGAACTACCTGAGGATAAAAGCATTAGAAGAATACTGTGCTTTGAAGGATCCTATAAACCTGGTGCAAGGTCTACAACTGTCATTGGTGAAATTTTTAGGTGCCTAGTATCTTTATCAAAAGGAACTGAAATCAAAGTCATGATGCCTTTGATAAGTACAGGCCACCAAGTAAGATTTTATTCTCAGAATTTTCTGATCCTCTAAGATTTTATCCTTTTCTATTCCTTTAATATTTGATGTCCTCTGCTTTTTCTGTTGCATGCTAGACAAGCCCCTTGAAATCCAAATATCTATATTTCTCTTTGTTTTTTTTCTTCATATTTCTGCTGTTGAAATCTAACAATGATAGAGCAAACAATGAGATATCTAAAGTTTGAAACAAGCTTAACTTCAGCACACTGTCCTAACCAGGAAGTTGGGAAATGATATGAGTCTCTATAATGTGAAGAGGAGTGCCGAGCATCAAAACAAAAATTTTAGGGACCCTGAAATGCTGTTAGCCCAAAGACCCTAGAGAAAAGCCTTTTTTATTAGCTTTGCTTTTAAGAGTACCCAAAATATATTTCTTTATATCACTGAGAGATGTTTTTTGACATAATATTTCTTATAGATGGACTAAGGTCAATTTAAGTGAAGGATATTAATATAGTGGTCTCTTAACATTTTCATAGTCACTATCCATGAGCTCTTGTGTAACAAATAATAAACATTATATCACAAGGCGTAGAAATCACGAGGTGTTGTCATATTGAGTGGGAGGACCAGTACACTGCTTGATAAGCATAGCTTTTCAGTGTCCTAACAATACCTTTGGAAGTTAGGGAGCAAACAATACCATACATAATAAAATGTTTAAAGGCTGGGGTAAGATAATATTTTTAAAATTTTCTTGCAAGAGACTTGTAATTAGTAATTTTGTAATCAAACTGCAATCAATAGAAGTTTTTTATATTTACAAAGATATGCGCCTCTATTATACTGATACCAAGGGTCTTTTTACAGGGGTGTGAATATGAAACTATACTTTCTCTTATTGTGGAAGCTGCGATTCACTGGATGGAAATTGGTTTGCTTCTTCGTGTTCTGAAAATTGTTGTCTATGTTAAAGATATGAAGCAAATACAGAGCGACTTCCTTTTGAAAAAATTTAGATTACTTAAAGATCAATGGCTAAAAGAAAAAGAGAGCAGGAAGAAACTGAAAAAAGTAAGTAGTGTTAGGTTTCTCCTATTCCTCATTTCTTCTCTGTAGAGTTTCTCTGCCTCTTTAATATTCATTGACAAAAAGCAAATTCAGAGATATCTTAACAGGTTACCTAAGCAGGTATTCAATTTTTGTTAGCATTAATTTACATTCAAATAAATATCAAATTTATATTGTTTTGAAAGTTCTAAAACTTATCAAAGAGCATCCTTACAATTCCATATCAAATGTTCCCAAAACAAACTATTTTTTGGGAAGCATAATGAATTTGGGAAGCGTAAAAGTGACCATAATAAATTTTCTTTAATATTTCTAAGGAAGGAAAGTTTGGTAAGAAATTCTTGCACATAAAATTTCAGTGGTTTATGTCATTTGGTTTCTTAGGTATAACTGGTCAAAAAAAAGGTGGGAAATTCACAAAATTTACCTTTGTAAATCTAAGTTTGACTAAAGCATCTCGTAATAAACAAAAAAATTTAAACCATTGGGTAAGCTTGGGTTATTCAAAAGTATGACTTGTTTATAGCAACTAGGCATCAGTTGGAAAACCAAGTGAATTAAAATGTTGCCGTTGCATTGCCAAGTGTCTTGGTCTTAAGGTGGTACTTCAATCTAGAATTATATAAATTGTTTAAGATATTTATTGTAATGGTTTTATATCTTGGCCAATTTCAAATGTTGTTCATGCCTTTTGTCATACAACTCATATATTGATTCACCCCCCCCCTCCCCCCCCCCAGTCAAGAGAGCCAAAATATCTAGGGTCTAAAGGCTGCTTTTGGAAGAAGGGCTTTCAGATCCACCAATATTTTCAGTTGTGAATATATTTCACTATGATGTTGACAATTCTATCTTGAATGGTTATTTGTATTCCTATTATTGCCAACCCTTCTTGCCACCCATTACTGCCACCTACTCAAGACACAAAATGAAGGAATGATATGAAAAGAGATGGAGACCAAACACAGGCCCATCACTATACGGGGGGCGCGTGGGGCGTGACATCCCCCTTAAAAATTGCAAAAACGAGGAGTTTTTTGCTATTTATGGGTGCTTAGTCGGCAAATTTCTAAATTTGACGGCCAATACAGGATGGCTTACCCACTTTGTCGGCAAATGGGACTTGGAAACCCCCCTTGAGCACAATAGATAGCGACGGGCCTGACCACATAAGTTAACAACACCACAATATGAAACGACTCTGCAAAGTAAAACTTTGCCGCAATTAGGACCTATGACTCGACCTACCGTTAGAAAACCATCCCCATTTATTGAATAACCACTAACCAGCATGTTGGATCAGTCAAGCCGCGAACGTGGAGAACACTTTTGGTTTGCTTATGATTGACGGTACTTCACCCCCTCCCCCATTCCTGCAGGCACCACTTTAGCCCCCCCCCCCACTTTTTTTGTAAATAATGCAAATGTTAAGTAATAAACCCATCAGGAAAGACTCTTGTTTTACGGTTTTACCCCCCCCCCCTACTTTTTAGACCCCCCACTTTGCTTAACGCTCCGCCGTGCCAGCTTCATCGTTCCTCGTGTCGTTGGCAACAGCAATCAAGATGGCACCCCTCTTGCCACCCTCTTATGCTATCCTTTATTGCCACCCCTTATTGCCATTTCCTTCATGCCACCACTCTTGTTGCTCCGTCGTATCACCTCCTTCTATCAATCTCTATTACCCTCCCCCTTGCCATCCCCTATTGCCATAACTTTTCTTGCCATCTCCCTCCTGCCATCTTTCTTGACATCATCCTCAAAATCACTGGGGTGTAATTTGCAAGAACTGATAAAATGTAAAACCTTTACTTTAAAGGCTCATCCTGTCAGATACGATGTTTATTTGTCATATTGCCCAAGTGATCAACAACTAGCTGCAGGTATAATTGGAAAACTAGAATCTTTATATGAAGATATATCAATTTATGCAGAAAGGCAGGAAATTAACCAAGACAAAACTTGGCAGGATCACATTTATGAGGTAAAGTTTTCTCTTAGCGATCATTGTGGTAAACAAAGTCATAAGCGAAAGAGTGTGCTATTTTACAAGAATGAACAGCTTTTAAGAATAGATAGCAGCTAGAGTTGTGTAGTTGGAAGAATTTATACTTAGATAATACATACTTCTCTCCATAATATATTGAGACTTCTCTCCATTAAAGACTGTTGTGGTCCCATTTGTGATGGAGTTGAAAGACTTAGAGGAGCTTTTTGGTGCTGAAAGACTGTTGTGGTCCGTGTCTGATGTAATTGAAAGAATTTATACTTAGAAAAGCTTTTTAGATGCTGAAAACCACTGTGGTCCCATTCTGATGCATTTTGATATCAAGAAAGTTTTTTAAATATGATTGATATTTGTACCGAGCTCTAAAGCTGTTAAATGCTGCCACAAAATCCCATTTTAAACTGATTCATTAGATTCATTAGGTTACTGAATATAAATAATTATCATTTTTAGAAACATTATGGCTGTTCAATAAAATTAGTAGCTTAAAGTTTTCTGAAATGACGCTATTCATAATGCAACTTGATCGTGTCTTTACATATTTATTGTCTGCCATTTTTATTTTGTTTTTCTATATGACTACCTTTTCTTGCTCGACAGGTCATGGTTTCGTGTGCCCGAATAATCACAGTCTTGAATCCAAATTTTCTGACAGACGAAGCATGTTTGGAGCAATACAACATTGCACTTTGCTGCTCGAGGAACATGAAAAGAGACTATCTTGCTCCTTTATATGTTGAAACGGTCGACAAAATGCCAACTTACATGTCACTTATTCAGTATATAGATTGCAGGTAGATAACGACTTTTCAATATTTATTATAGCTTTTCCTTGTGCTACTTTCAAGCTCTTATTATATTTTATTTATCTTAGAGAGGACAAATTTTAAATAAGTATTTATATTTTCAAATTTAAGTCGATATATTTTATCTCATTGGTTAACAGTAAGGAACCTATTGGGGAGATTTTTCTTAGTGATTATCTAAACCGAGATATGGTTGTGTATTTTCAAGCAGTTTTGCTTAACTTGTAGGCCTTTCTCAGATGACCTTTTGCGTAATGCCTGCTCGGTTGTCACTGATTGGTTGAAGCTGAATATCACAGCGCTGAGGCATTCGCACCCAGACAACAGTTACCAAAAGCCACAGCCCGTTTCACTAACCGGTGATCGTTATGACGTGTTTATTTCGTATTCGCACAAAAACAGCGAGGCTGCTGCTCAGATTAAAAAGCACTTGTCTGTCCTGTATCCTGATTGGAAAATATTCATTGATGTATCTGATCTCAAGACGGGGGTAGTTTGGCAAACTAAGCTATACAACAGTATTGGTACGTATTTAAGAATCTATGTTGCAGCATTGATTGCAGAGCAGAAACTTTTTCATGCATACTTATCCTGCTTTGAAATCTGACTGAGATGGATCAACATACTGAGTAACACGAAATAAATTTGACTAAAACATGAATTATATATTTAGCCACCCTTTACTTTGTACCTCTATATTAAAAGCCTCTTATGAAATTCTACAATCAAGGAAACGCTTTGGGAGTTTTTTATCTTTCTCATAATTAGTTTCAGCTTTCTCATAATTAGTGCTCACTGACCTATTATTTGTCGTATAGAAAGAGCTGTTAACGCTTTGATTTCTAGAACAGGACCATTTTAAGTTTCTGGGCTTATGCTGAATGCGATCATCAAGCAAATGTTCTAGACTCTGTAAATGTGCATCTGATTAATTTCATTCTTAGAGCGCTCAAAAGTCGTCGTCTGCTTGATCTCACCTTCATATGTTACATCGAAAGTGTGCCAAGAAGAGTACAACCTGGCAATGGCATTACACTGTGACCCTGCATATTCAACAACGCTCTTCCCTATCCTTGTCGAGCCTGTTCCAACTCTCCCAAGCTGGTGCTCTGATTATTCACCTCTAGACTTGACTCGAGACGACATATCAGAGTTCTTAGGTCGGGTCCAGCTGCTAAAAAGTGTGTGCTATATTTGGTTATACAGTTTTGCATTTCCTTTTTTTAGCTTTCTCAAGCGTATTCAAAAGGTCATCAAACATGTAATTATTGCCCATCTGGCCCACATATATATTCAGCAGACGTAAATGCTATTATCTTTAAGGCCAGGTCCGCCGAGAAGGGGAGCAGGAGACAGATTGCCCCAGGCCCCGTGCTGAAAGAAGCGGCAAAAAATTATAACAAAGTTCCTTACGATAACAACAGTATCGATGACGTCATTACGGGCCCAATCTTTCTTTTGCCCTAGGCCCAAACAACTGTTAATTTAACGTATTTCTCTGAATTCCTTTGTTGTTTCTACAATATTACAAAATTTTATATCTTAGAGTACATATTGATCCTTTTTATTTCATGTTTTTATTTCCATTGCCTTCCGGATTGAGTTATCTTTGTACTATCGTTCTCTTACTCTTTCTATCTTTCTTTTTTGTGCTAAGACAATATCATACATATAAGAAATAGAGTGAGCGGAGAAACCTGTGAAAATGCCTTGTAAACGCAGCCCCTCTTAGAATTAGGCCAACTCTGTAGTATTACTGGTAGTTTTTATCAATGTACAAACATTTGAACAAATTTGTTCATAGGTTTTTATATAATTTTCTGCACTTTTATAGAACTGGACGGCCTAAGGAAGCCCAATCCTTTGCTTCTCTCCAAATTAACTGAAGACTGGAGGACTAAATTTGTTTTAAACGGATATCCCTACCTACCTAAATTGGCCAGCGGAGCAAAGAACGAAATTTGTCTGTCACCAGATCACGACAACACTACACCCTATATTGTTCTGTGCCATCATCATTCGGATAAATCAGCAGCAGATTTTCTAGCAAAAAGGCTGACAGTTTACCTCAAGAAACCAATTATCCAGAGACCTAAACAGTCAGAAGCATGCAATGCGCTCATTGACAAAGCTGATCTTGTTATTGTGATGTTATCAGCTGCTTTTGTCAGCAACCCAAAGCTGATTGAAGAGGCAAACATTGCTCTTTGCAGACAGCGTTGGTCTGACAGGCTTATTTTATTGCCAGTTCTGTTGGAACCTCTACCAGACTTTCCTGCTTATTCTAAATTGTTTCTTTGCTTTTTTTCTTTAACGGATTACATATGGCAAAACAATAAACTTTCCCTTAAAGATCGCTTGTCCTGGATGTGTACGCTAAATTCAGCGAAGGCAGTTTTTCTTGACAAGGTCGCTTTCTTTGCCAGTTCAATTGCATCAAATCATTCTGTAGCTGAAGGTCAATTTAAGACATTAATCAGTGTCCAAGAGCTTGGAAAGTCAATCAAACAAATGTCAGAAAGCAGTTCTTGTGATGAGTGGTCGTGTAACCCTTTGGTCTTTCAAGATGCCCAGTTACCGTCTACAACGGCGCATTCTGCGGAGAAGTTACCGACGGCATCGCATTCCTCTTGAAGGGTTCCAGATATTGGCATGAAGAGGCGACCAACTGAAAGCAACACGTTACTCAAGCAGTAGTTATACCCTTCCTTGTTTACAAATTCGGTGTGAACGGTTTATCGCAAATGTAAAGTCTTTTATCTTATTTATACTCGTTGCTGGGATTCTACGAATTAAGCCCTGTTTACACTACAACTTTTAATCTGGGTTAACGCTAACCTGGGTCGAAGCCAGGTTGAACCCACTTTCGTTTACACTACATTTACAACAAAGTATAGTGTAAACGCAAAGTTGGGTTGAACACAGGTTAGATTCGCCACGCATGCGCTTCGTTGTGAAGGAAGCTTTCTGGTACATTAATTTAGCTGTCGCTGGATGGCTTCGTCCGCCCATATTTCGATTCACGACATGACTTCATCGTCGCCCCATAGTTTACCCCATTCAGCCCTTGTTTCATTCATTTTCAAGATATGCTGCTTTAAATTGAAGGACCTTTTTGCACGAGCGTTCCAAGGCGAATTTTGTTTTGACTTTGTCTTTGGCGCCTTTCATGGCTCAAAAGGCGCATGCGCTAATTAGATCGTTAACCTGGGTTCAACCCAGGTTTGCGTTTACACTGCATTTTGAAGTTCTTAACCTGGGGTTAACCTAGGCTCAACCCACCTCCAGAGTAGAGTTGGCTTAACCCAGGTTCAACCCAGGTTAGCTGCGTTTACACTACAAAATTTCTAACCCAGATTAACGTTAACCCAGGTTCAACCCAGGTTAAAAGTTGTAGTGTAAACAGGGCTTTACTGAAAGGTTTGCTGTTCCAAATGAAGGACCGCAGCTTGAATATATTCGCAATCCTAAAGTGAATGGATTGGAAGCGATTCGAGGAGCAGAAATTTACTTGAGGCTTTAGGCTAATGGACATCCTTGTCGTTACATAACGGATCGATTACGCACAGTATAGTGACGTATTTGCAGGAGGTTTCGTGTTCACTTGATACCAGGGTCCTGACCCCTTGTTCTAACACATAAACGTATTGGGTCAGTCTCCTTCGCCGTGAAAATATCAACAGTGCAGACTAGGACCTTCTCTGCGTATTTTCAGAAGCTAGTAATTTTACTTACCAATTTTTTAATCATGATTCTCGTGCCTTACCATTCTTCGCGTATCTATTTTCAATTTCATACACTATAACTTCATCATGCAGATATGCAACGATTCATACTAAAATCTAAATGATCTTAATATTGATATTTGATATCACGTGCATTTTATTATGCTATTTTACTATTATGCTGTAATATACTAGAAAATCAATTCCCATTTTATCTTTTTAAGCTATGTTGAATCTAAGCTATATTTTGTCTTTTAAGTTTTTATAGATATGATAGAAATGATCTTAGAAATTCGATATAGAAATGATTTTTCAATTAGATCTTCTGTAATTTGAAATTGGGTTTTATATTACCTAAAATTTGAAATTGGGTACTAAGTCAGTAACTTACCTCAATGGTTTGATTTTAGCTAAATTTAATTAAATACTTGACTACTGTAACGTTATATATATTTATATATGGATCTGTTATTCTAAAATGGATCAATTCACTATTCTTTTTTACTGATCTATCCATGCTGTTTCTTTTACAATTCACAGCTTTTATGGAATACTAACCTTAAGATTTTGTATTTGTATTTGCTTCTACTTAGCATCCTAAGGTTCTTTCTAGGACAATGAGAAGCTTATGCTTATCGAGCAGTGCCCTGGTCCTTCCTCTTGATGTTACCACATCTCGTGATTCCTTTGCCTGGAATTACAGAGAGCTGGCGACTCTCCTCACTCTGGGTGAAAGTTTGATTATGCCAGGGACTCGAACCACGGATCCTTGGGATCGTAGTCAGCGCCTCTAGTAACTGAGCCATCCTCACACCTTAAGATTCAACCATTAGTCGGCAACAGTCAAAGAATGTACTCAAAACAGTGTTTTAAACGACACTAGAAATTAAGAAGATGCTTTGTTGGCTCAAAAGAACGCAAATTTTGCTTTTTAATTAGATAATGTATTTGAGAAATATGGCAAAATATCAACAGTCTCAGATAATGTACCTGATTAAATGGAATTTATGCCTGCTGAATGAACAAATAAAAACAGCATTTGCAAAGGTCAACACGAATTGTTTTTGTAGTTACAGGTTTACTTTCTTGTGATTTTTATTTGACTGAATTTGTAGAGAGAGAAAGCATAATTTGTAACTAGAATAACGACTCTTAGCATGTTATCAACATCTTGGAATGAATCAGTGCATTTGAGGTTGGTGGCTGAAACTTAGAGAATAGTAGTGAATAGTGCGGCCTGTTGATACGAATGGAACAATTGTGTATATAATGAGTGGTTGATATATTCTGCCATCAGCAACCAAGTGCAAAAGTACCTGATAATACGGCCACATGTTATAAACATGAAATAACATCGTAAACATCAGAAGCCCCAGTCTGCTGCCAAATCGACGTTTGTGATTAACAGTTAAAGAATATGAAAAGTTATTTAGCAGCTGCAAAACTACTTTTGCTAGTTTTACTGAGGTAGGTGTGAAAAGCATTCTCAGTTGTTTCATTTATAGCTATATATTTCCATGGCAGACGTAATGTTGCTCTTGGCTGCAGCAAACGTTGTGTAACACTGAAACGTCAATCGGGCCATGCTTGAAGTGACTGTGGTATTTATGGCTAGATTGAATTACTCTTTCAGTTACATCCTTTCTTTGAGAAAAAAAACGATATTTGTAGCTGTTAGCGTTCACAATTTTGTGAGAAAAGAGCTACTGTTGACAATTCATTCAACAATAACCCAAGGTTTACTTTTACGGTTAAGCTAAACGCCTACTGTCTTTCGTCGTAGATTCATTGATCAGTCTGATCAAACAAGGTGCAAAAACACATTTGATAAACGCGAAAAAAAAGATTTCTTGAGATTACAGGCTTATCAAATTAAAGAAAGAATGCAGTTTGCAAAATACGAATAACAATCATTAACATCAATCGTTAGCAAATGCAGATGTTTGAATGTGAACAAATGGAATTAAAGTGATGTAGAGATGAAAACTGATGAAATATGTAATTTTAAGTTGCTTCTTGTTTTCTGTCGTTTATCGTTAGGGAAAATATATCTTTCTAGAAACGACGGAGAATGTGCTTTGAACTCTACTCAAATGAAGAACATCTTGGATATCTACGATACAAAGAAAGGAGATTTGATACCACGGTCGACAAGTACGTGAAAAATTCTCAAAGCTGTAAATATGCAGCATCAAAGTTATTCGTAGACAACTGTTTAACATTCTTTTTAAAATCAGCTATAAGATCGGCAGGTGGTACTATGTTTTCAAATTAATCGAATATGATAAAATTGCTGGTTTCTCGGTAGACATTCTGAAATTTACATTCTATTTGGGTACCATTTGGTCTCTCGTCATCAGCTTAAAATTAGTGTTGTTGAATTTCACATTACCCTTTCTTGGTATATTTATGCAATTTCCACAAGGGTGTGAAAAAAGACGAAAACGTTACAATTTTGAAAATGACAAAATATAAAATCATTGCTAATGACGATTGTATTTCCTATGGAATGATAGATCTGTTAAGATCCTCTTTGTTCCCTCATTACTGTTATTTGATCATAAAATTTTACAGCAGTTCCTTTGTTAAGCTACAGCTATGTTATCAATTTGTAGATGGAACCTTCACCACCAGACTTGGATTTGAAATATTGAATATGGTGCCTCTGACTTTTATAAACGATGTAAGTTTAAACGGTCTCCTTTTTCTTTAAGACTGCTACTGTTATATTGATATAACGCACTGTTTACGCCTTATCAACTTGCATACATTTGTTGCGTTCATGTTCTGACAAATTGCTTAACGCATTCTTAGAGAGGCTTCTCCAGCATCTATCCTTTTTGTGTTGCCTACAGGGCAAAAAAGACACTTTAGCTGTCTTATTTTAAGAAATTCATTGACATAAAGAACATGTTTACTTCATGTCGTCTTGACCCACTAGGTTGCTACTGACGTCCCGGATTTGTGTGTTTTTATCGATTAAAAAAATTTCTGATTCTTGCTTAACGTGAAGCCTGTATAAGCACTTCAGCTGCAGGTATCTATTGCTAAAGATTTCTTTTAATTTTTTAACCAACCTGAATTCGTTCCCCGAAGCAAATCATATTGCAATCCCATTCTAGCAGAAACCTTTCACTTTTGGTTTTTTTGGACTGTCTGAAAATATAATGCATTAGGCACACGCATAAAAATTTGTAAAAGATATAATTTCTGCGATATATCTTTTCAATACTTGCGCTAGGTGCTATAAGCATGGGCTCACCCTAGAATTTATTTACATGAGTTAATTTATTTTTCCTACCAGTGTTGGTTCGGCCCAGTTTAAAAGGTGCAGTGTAAAGAGGGCTAATGTTGTCAATTTTATAGCATACGATTGTGGTGTATTGTTTTGGGGGCTAATGAGTATCGGATTATAAAAATTGCATGCTGGGATATTATGTAACTGCAAAAGCTTGAGGTTTACGAACAATCTTTAACATAATCTGGAAGAATATTGACTTCAAAGTAAGAACAATGATCAACTATTTCTCTATGGCTATGCTGTTTTCTACGAGCCTATCCCTAAAGCTATCTATGGAGCTGAGCAGATATTGAATAGTAAGGAAGATAAAACGACGTCACGCAGAAAACTCTTCGTAGAACATCGTCTGACGGAATTTAGTACAACCATAGGATGTACTTCCATACCTTGGATACCAGAGCCATATAAATTCGAGCGCAGAAATGGAATATGGGGGCGGAGAAGCTAGATGCTCCTCCGCTTGGCCTTCCATTTCTGCGCTCGAAATTCTGTGGCTCTTGAACCCAGGGTAGTGCTTCCAATATAACATTAATCTCGTCCAACATTCATTTTACCTAGAGCTTTGTAAAAGCGAGCTCTGCCTTTTTTTTCAGCATCTCTATGTTGAGTTTGGTTTGATAGAAACTTGGATGGACAATAGACTTAAACTAACTAACGAAGATTCTGACGAGGTATTAATATTGCAAGGTGATGCGGTATCGGCAATATGGAAACCAGATATCTCCATTCTGAACGAGAAAGGAGTCAAGCATGATACATTCCCTGCGATACAGGAATCAGTGTCAATCTCTTTGCAAGGAATTGTTACTTATCATATCAGGTTATTTCTATGCACAATTTGAATATTTTACCCAAATATGGATTGGTTGTGTCAAATGGAAGTCCGAAAGGAAACTCTGAATTTTTCTTGACGTTGCCTGCCCTTTGAGTGATATTATTTCATGGACACTCAGTGTTGTTTTTGCTTATTTACGGACTTTTAGGTTCTAACATATGCCTAGCTCTCTTCTTTCTTATAAATCATATCAAGATGTTACAAAATACAATATGTTTCATTTTATTAAGGAACTTTTCCTGTGCATGAAATAGCATCAGATAGTGATACAATTTGAAATCCTTTAGAACATCTACTTTTAATTATTAATTTTAGGTTGCGTGCAAACGTGTATTTGAAAATCCCAGTAGTTTTTAGCTTTCTAAACACTTGTTTCTTTTTCTAAACAGCTTGAGAGTGACTCTATCCTGCATTATGTCGATGGAAAGGTTTCCTTTTGATAAACAAGAGTGCCCATTGAACATTGAATCGTGTAAGTACACAGCAATGTACGAGAACGCCAAACATACACCTATCATTTCTATAAGAAACCTTCTATTAGAAGCTCATAATTTCAAATCTTAAGAAACTTTTCCCCAATATCCTTTCTAGATCAAAAATAAGAAACGTTTGACGTTGTGTTATCAAACTTTCACATCGCCAGAAATTTTTTGCCAGAAATACACTCATTTTTGATAAGAAACAGAGGTCGATGTTGAGTACTCCAGTTTCTTAATGTTCTGAAAATTTCAATACTCACTGTTTCTTAAGAGTTTCTTAATTATGATGTCATGAATGATGTTATGAAAATGTTCGTGGCCTTTTTTTCACGTCGAGAGATTCGCTTCCGTTCTGACGTTGTATTTAGACGTGGGAAGTATATTTTTATCCCTTGTGTCTTAATTTCTAGGCCATCAGGGCAATCGTGTTCTTTGATTTCACAAAATTTCGTTGTTCTTAATTTTATCACGATTTTATAGTTTCTTAATTTTTTTGCTTCGAGTACTGAAGTTTTGTTAATGTTTTCTGACTGTCCAGTACTCGTTTCTTATAGACAGTTTCTTATAAATAAAATGAGTGTAGTGAAGTCTCTCTACTCCCATTGCGCCAAAACTATTTTGACACAAACACAGAACGGATAATATTCTTTTGATAGTTTACAGACAACAGGATTTCGAAGATCCTCGCTCGGGTCGGTTATTTTCCCGCACTTTCTATTAATTCTTTTGATAGTTAGGTTTTGTTAATACAGGTACTATTTTGGGTTCCTTCAACAGATACTATGGTTTTCTTTACTTGTAGACTCAAAAATTGCTAAATGAAGCTTTATAGAGCGACTGGGGTTGAAAAATTAGGTAAATAAAGTTGTACGTAAGTTGTATGGCAAGCGAGGACCTTGTGCTTGTATTTATGTCACTAGTCAGGACCATAACTATGCTTCAAATTTTGAATAATATGCGGTATAATCATTGTTCAAATCAAATTCATTTTAATCTTTGTTACGATGATACGATAACACACGTCGGCAAATTTTCTTGAGTATATTGTGAATGCAGTTTTTCTCGTGACTTCTGCTCTTACTTTTTTTAAAATGATTGCAATCAAATTTGACCTTATATTTTTGCTCTAGATGGGTACAATATTAGCAGCTTGCGACTCGGCCTTATAAACACTACTAAAGACGCCTCTGTTACCATAAGCGACTCGTTCAAAATCTCAAAATTTATTCTGGATCGATATAAGGTGGAAGTAAAACAAATTGATTATGGAGTCAGTGGTTTGTATATCTTTATTTACAAATAAATTAGATTATCAAGAATCATAAATTTCACATTTATAAACTTTTGAATTTATCAACTCCTCCCAAATGAAATGGACGCCCTTCTCCAAACTTTGAGGCAGGGCCCACGCCAGAGATTCTAATCTTGGTGGGAAGAAATGTAAAAAATATTTCTCTTACCCCCGTCGCAAGAAATTCTTCTGCTTACGCTCTTTTACTTGAGACTTTATGATTAGTTTAGTGTATTTGTTGTAGCCTGCAGGTTTATCTCATGAAAATCCGGGCTTATCTAAATCTTTGAGTATGCAAAAGTGGCCCGAGCCCACTGATCTTTATTGAGACTATCACTAACCCCTTTCCACAATAGACTCAAAAGCTAACTAGCGGTAACATAATTTTAGTTACTTCTACAACATATGCGTTTCTACATCAATATTTTTATTTTTGTTACATTTGATTTCTTTTGGTGCCCAAAAATTAAGAGAGCATCCTGTCACTCTTTACGGGGAAGGATAGTGTTTTGACGGTGGGGGCACATTCGTAGAATACATGACTTCACGTATAACAATTTTACATTTTATAGAGCTCTAACTAGTGGTTGATTGCATTCAGGGTATTATTTTGAGCAAACATGAAAGCACGATAACCTTAAACAACAGTTTGACATCTTTTCTTAATAGTTTTCCTTCTGTTGAATTCAGAATGAAAAAATCATTTTAACACCTTTTTTATCTACCCTCTAGGCATATTCGACAAAGTGGTACTAACATTTTTTCTCAAGAGGGATACACGATACTACATCATGGAGTATTACTTTCCAATCATTTGCACTGTCTTTCTCAGTGGCGTTTCATTTTGGATTAACCACCGAGTGACACCTGCAAGAGTTGCCCTTCCTGTAACTACATTTCTCACGCTGACAAGCATGTTGCAGCATGTCCGTTCGTCTGCCGAGCTTTATGGCACAGCCAACTGTCTCGAGATTTTCTTGAATGTTTCGAATATTTTTGTGATTGCAGTCATGATTCAGTTTATCTTTGTTGGATCAACCAGTCGAGGCAAAAGAGAGGTAATCCAGCAAATATCAACTTTTAGCATTCATACTTTCTATTGTTGAAAGTTCTAAGCTACCTCACTGGTGCCAGCATGAATATATTTTGTCTTAAAATTTCTCTCTAGTTTACATGAAGCCGAGATTAATTCTTTGTTATACAATTCCATAAAGAGACACAATAACAAAATGCTAAATACACTGCTGTATTTCAGTGGCGTACCCGAGGGGGGATGGGCCGGACCCCCCCCCCCCCCCCTTTTCTTTTTCTAAAATATGGTCCTCGAGATTTGTCCAAAAACGATGTAAAACTCATTGGAGGGGGGGGGTAGTATACTGTATGCTTGTGTCAATAACAATTGTAAAATGCTTTGCTATTTACCGTAGCTAACATGAATAAAATAATGGGGGAAAATTTTGCAAAAAGGGCGTTTCCCCGCATTTGCGAGTGTTTGAAGGGCGTGGTCCAAAAAAAATTCTGGGGACTGCGACCCAGACCCCCCACCACTCATGCAGCCCTGGGTACGCCACTGCTGTATTTACAAAACAAGGGAGCAAAAGACCCGCATGCCTGTGAAGTCTTACGTTTTTGCGTAAGTCTTACGTAATTTCGTTGGTTTTTTCAAGTTTTACGGCGTTAGCTGAAAATCTCACGTTTTTTCTTCATTTTCAAAATGCCTTTTAAACCTAAATTACAATTCAATATGCTTATTTTGAAAAATATGAAATACTTCGAACGTGTTACATTCAAATTCACGAGAACGTTCTGGCTAACGAGTTAGTTAATTTTGTATATTCTGTCAAAGTTATGAAATTTGAAGCTGAAAGATCATTGTAATTTTGTAGACTGAAGTTTGGATTGGTAGTTCCTTCAATAAATCTTTGTAAACTTTACTGTTTTTCATTATGTAGTGTTCATAATTAGTCATTTGTTTTTGTTATTTACATTAAATTTTCATTCACAATTTGTTTTGAAACAAATGGAAAACGTATGAAAGGAAATACGGGTTCCTTATGATTTAATTACCATTTTATACGCAAAAAAGGTTCTAAACGCAAAATATTACGACAGGACACCACGGTAGATTGACAGGACTGTGAATAACCTGCGGTCCTGACATAAAATCAAAATCTACAACATTACATGCAACTGCCAAAAAAATAAATATGAGATAAAAACAAGATTTATTCGGGGGTAACTGCAATAGGCAGAGGCTGAGGGTGTGCCATTATGAAATTTTAAAACATACCCTAAAATTTATAAATATTCCAAAAACCCTACCCCAAAATTGAGATATAATATTAAATACATACCCTTAACTTTAATTCAAATTTGCAAAAATCCAACATTTCCTCAAGTAAATAAAAATATAATACATTTCTTATAAAAATGATACCCAAAAAATCAAGGTCTTCCAAAAATTCAACCCCAAAATTTGTGAGCATGTTTCATTTTGCGAATTTTATTCTCTTCTTGAAAAATGGCACATCCTGTACCAGTGTTTGTGGCTTGTAATCGAGTGAGAAATAATTTTTGATCGAAATGAAAAGGACAGCCCCGAAATTATAGGTTTATATGTTTTTCAATGCCATAGTTGAGAGCTTCCCGTCACTAAAATTTTAAAATAGCAATAAATGTTTGGAAAGATAACAAAAGTGAAGGCAAAAAAGCTTATTTCTAATGAAGAAAAGTATTCAGGTTAGAAAGCTTCCACACAGTTTTCAGTTTCAAACCTTCATATGGATATGAACACAAGATTACATTCAAGGCACGTACAAAAAATTAGAAAACAAAAACTTTTTAACATCTAGTAGCAATATTTGCGAATAATGTCAAGAGCCATGATTTCAAAATGTAAAACCACATCTTCTTTTCAGGTAGACAAAGGAGAAGGCTGTCCGGCAAGAAAAGAGAATTGCAATCATGATTCAAAATGTTGCTCAGTTTTAGTCAGCACCTTTAGCAGAAAAAGACGTTTTTCAGTAAGCCAAAAGAAAACGATGCATAGCCAACCCAGAATACATCCCTTGGACAAAATTTTCAGATACCTTTTCCCGTTATCATATGTAACATTTATAATTATTTATTTCATTGTTTTCAATTTGCTATTGTAGATTGGAATGATTTGGCCTTGATGCCCCATAAAACAGCTTAAGAAGAAAATGATAATAAATTTTTTTTCTAGGGTACTTAAGGTCTCAAATTTTCTAGCCAGCAAATGAGTTTTGCAGTCAGCTGATTATGTGTTCTTGACAGTTCAGAAGGTCAACTTGCTTTTAAAGTAATAAAAATGTCTCAACTTTACACTTGAGGAAAGTTTTTATGAACTAGTAACAAAACGTTCCTTCAAAGCCACTAGACAGGCTACCCCCTGATAATTGTTGTACAGCTTCCAAAACTTGATTTAAGTAATTTTGGGGCCCTATATCTAATTTGGAGTGTATGGGTATCGTTCTCCGCACAATGTATTAAATATACAAATTATCGGCTTAATAAATTTGTATTTATTCTTAAACTGAATAATTTAATAAGGAGAATTACTGTTCAGGTATGTTGTCTTCAAGAGTCAGGAAAACATCACGGCCCCACGGCCTCTGGCCGGAGGAAGGCTGTAGAAACAAAAAGTAATTGAGGAAAGTAACAAACTTTTTTGGAAACTTGAGGAAATTGAAGAAATCGAATTTCCTTTTGTTTTTCAAAATACAGTCTGACTAATATAGAAACAATCGGATAATATTTATAAACCTCTTATTCTTTCAATATGAATGTGTTTGCAGACCTGTTTTACACTGCAAAACTAAGGCATTAACTTTTAATAATTGATAAAGTTAAATTGTACTGTTAATTGATAAAAGCATGTAACTTTACATGTCTCAAGAAACAAGCAACAATTTCTTAAAACGTTTTGGAAAAGCAGAGTTGCAAGGAGAGAAGATCAAGACAAGTTGAATACTCCCAGTCTATCAGTGCTCCCAGACCACGCCCTTTTTAAAAACCCATTAAAAACGAAGAAAGTTTTAAAGTTGACAACTTTTTTGGACTCCTGTTAAATTTAGTTGATGTAGATCTAAAAATAAAATGGATTGTTGCCAGATGTAGCGTCAATTTTTATTTTTGCACGCAGCTGCAGTGTACATTCAGAAATCTCTTCCGTGCTGAGAAGCGTCTTGAATGAACCGGTAAAATTTGACCCGTTTACTAGAACATAAGAAATAAGGCGTGCGGCAGCATCTAGGCATTTCTGTTTCGTAGACCAGCCTGCATCAGATGCATTGCTTTCCCATAATTCGTCAGTGCATGAAAACAGAGACAAAAGTAACCGAAAGTAAGCTGGCTTCGATGGAAGTTTCTCTGTGTAGATGGGAAAGAAAAGCCAGGAGCTACACGAGCGTTGTCGGCACAGGGCGATGTTAAGTTCTTCTGAAAGCTCGGCTGATTTTGTATAAGCATGGGATAACAGGGGTACAATGATAGATGCTTCGTCTAGCACAGAGCTGCGAACCTTTGCTGGCTCAGGATGCGATATCTTGACATTTGGTAGAAAATATCGGAGTCGATCGGACAGAAATTGAGCAAGGTCATTTTCAGCAGAATGGTAGGATAATGCAATGCTGTTTGATCCACTCCCAGGAAGTATCTGTGTTGTTTTGAAATCAATCATATCCTGAAATTCCAGTCCTTTAAGATATTTCAAGCCAGATTGGTAATGATAGGTTCTCCAATTAGAAGTAACATCTTCTATAGAAGTTACTTTTGGCTTGTCAAGTTGGCCGTATTCTGAAAAAAAAGTAGGTTTTGTAGAAAAAGAAAACGAATATTAAAGACTGTTTGGTGCTAAACTTGAATGAAATTTTCCAATCATTGAAATCTGTAAGGATAACAAATCACAAATCAAAGGCGCTTTTCAAATGGCTGAAATTCTAAAGATTTGATTCAATTCAATTGCCAATGGTCTTCAAATCGCTTCTAAAACTATTGCCGATAGAAAATCTTCAAATTTTGAAATTTTCATCCTTTAATATTTTCGCTAACAGGCACACTAAATTCATGAAGCGTATAAGTTTCCAGAAAATGAAAAAGAAACCCCTGGAAAAATACAAAGAAATTCTAACATTTTTAGTCACATTGATTTTTACTGGCATGTCATGTTTAAACTATAAATAAAAAGTAATTTGGAGACACTTTGCGCATGTGGGCGCTACTTGCCCCAGCTGGAACACTGAAAACATACCTGAAAACATTTAATAAATAGAGGTTGAAGGCTACTTGAATGCAACAAGCAATGATTAGCCAAATTTTAATGCGAGAGCAACTTAACTAGTTGCGTAAAGCAAAACTGTTTACCAGTTAGCACTCAGTGCCGTAAAGGCAGAGCTGCACTCGTTCTGGTGTTTTGACGATTCTAAGATGCACCCCTAAATTTCAGGCTTAATGCGATCGCCGGGCAACTTGTACACCCATATAAAAAATTAATATTTTTATCCTGTGAATAGAAATGGAAACTATCATTTTGCATGAAGGGTTCTTTCAAAAACTTACGTCGAAAAGCGTCCACTCGCTTAATCAACTGTGCCAGTGATCGATCAGAAATATCCCGGCAGTCAATAGGTGTATGTTCTCTGCACCATGAGGGCAAATCAGCAACCGTTTCAACGAGCAAAGGAAGAAGTTTAGTGTTATAGGAGAAATCGGAATGCATCGCAGATGCAAGGTTATACTCCTCTTGGCACACTTTTGACTTGACATATGTTTGCGAAATTAGAACGATGACGGTACGAGAAGACTCTATAAAGGTAACAAAGAAAAACATTTATGATAAACAATTAAAAGCTATTCTGAAAATAAGTAATAGATTGAAGCAAAATAGATGAAATAAAACACATTGAAGATATATTCAAATTTCAAAACTTACAGACTTGTGCATAACTAATAATCCGTTTACAAATGAGGTAAAATCGTCATTAGATCTCTGAATTTTGTAATGCGATTGAAAAACACTAATAAACATCAGTTTTGTATCATAATCTTTGAAAAAAAGTTCTCAATCAGACACTTTTTAGTATGATAGGACTCAAAAGGACTTGGAATGAATAGACAATGCTTTCTAAAAAAATCAGAACAGGGTTCCATATCACATTTCTCTACTAATCCATTGAGGCCAAATAGTTCCCTTTTCTGCAAAAATTTACTTTTTCAGCTAATCATAAACACTATCACACTATCGTAATATATATTAACTTTCATTCATGCTAAATGCGTAATTCCCTTGCCATTATACTTTCCATTTCTAAATAGAGGAGTGCCCCATTCTCTTTGCACCCCATACTGTTGATTTATCTCTGTGCCTTTAGTTGAGGCAAAAATGCGCCGTCGGAACATCATCATAGATTGTGACTTGTGTCAAGAGACAAAGGCAAAGAAATGAAAGTTAGTATTCAATACGATTGCCAGAACAGCAAAAGAATGGTATGATGGGAACCTACCAATGCTTTTATAAAGTTTCGCTTGCCAAGCTGTACCACTTTTGAGCTCTGCGACGTCGATAAATATATTCCAAGTTGGGTGAAGAGACAAAAGCTGGTCCTTTATTCTTTGAGCAGCATCAGTGTTCGCGTGAGAATATGATATGAAGATATCATAATTGGGGCAATCATTTGTCGATCCTATCGTCAAAGCTGATTGTGTCTCTGATACTAAGTGTTGGATTTCAAATTTATGAGTCTGTAGCCAGTTGATTACCGCCATGCATGCCATGGAAATTTTTGCATCGTCTGATGGGCTATAAAGGCAACGATAACTATAACGACTTGGAACGCAAATAAAGCCAAGATGTTATAACAGGCTTTCTCGAATTATCACAATGTAGCTTGACAATCAAATTCTAATCATTCATATGAACTTAAAAAGACTAAAGAGATTTGTTTTGAAATCAGCAAATTCCAAGATTAGAAAGAGGTGAGTAAATTTTCTTAAAGGTAATGTGTCCATATAAAAGGACTGCGTATACCAAACTTGTCAAGCCACCCATCAAAATAACGGTTTGCGATTGGTTAGTATTCTTGCGATGCAAAACTGCTCACATGAAAAGCTAACCTCACAGCAGTAAAGATAAACAAAAAGATGGGGCGATGACATGAAAAATCACATGTTTATAAAAACCCCCGCAGAGTCGCTTGCTTTAGCTGGACACATTACCTTTAATGTTATAAATTTTAAATGAAAGAAAGGTTTGTACGCCAAAACAAGTTAGAAAAGTGTGTATAAAGAATAAAAGTGGTAAAAAGACTTGAAATTCCTTTTCGAATAGTAGAGTATGAGATATTCATCATCTTAATTATATTTATCAGCTTAATCTGAACATGAACAACATTCTATCATAGTACCTGCAGTCAATATATTGAATAAGACTCATATACGTCGGTAAATTATCGATTGTGTCAACGTAAAAAGGAGCGAGGTAATCCCTTTCCATGCTTCTGGTGCAGCAGAGGGCTATGTTGTATTGCTCCAAGCAATTTGAATCAGTGACGTAATTGCGGGTTAATAATGCGATAACACGAGCACAAGCAGCCATTACCTACATAGATAAAGCAAAATATTCAATGTTTTTACCTGGGTAAACAAGGTCAGGTTTATCCAAGATAAAAATTAGGAACAGTTATTATCCTTATCTTATCTTGGCATATCGAATTGGATAAAATCTGATCAGATAGAAGCAGATTAATGATGGCTGATTGATAAGCAGGGTAAATGCCATCCTTTTGTCACAAACTAGAAACATTATCAACTTGGCCTAAAATGCCTGCCAAAAGTGCTTAGAGCACCCTGCAATTTGTGTTGTGTTTTTCTATTTTCACTTCCTTTCCTGAATACTACTTCCCAGAACCCCTTCTCCCCAGAAAAATGTTGATAAAGAAAAACGTACGGCCTAATCTTCTTCTTAATCTTAACATAGACCTTCATTGTTCCAAGGAGAAGGGGGGATGGTTGAGTTTTCCCTTTAAAACTGACATTAAACTTCCATGACTGATGGTAGGCATTGTAATTTATTCTCTTCTCAAGCATCAGAGAACCTCAGACTATTTGCCAAGTGCACAACAATGACCCCACTACAACCCTGGCTGATATTATGGTCAAATTATCAAATTTGGTTCTAAAAAATCATGTGTGTTAACCACCTTCTATCAAAATAAGAATGTTTGCAATTTTTCTGTGACTATTTTATAGCTCTCAATGCAATTAGGCTATTCTTTGTGTTTGAGAAAATGCAAACGTAGAGAAGGGTCATTCCATGTCAAATCACCCAGAATTTCTTAAAAGCTTTCCAAAAATTTTGATAAACTTAGTGTTAATTGAATTTGACATAGCTTTATGGTCAGATGCAATAGAGTAAATATGAAAGGATGATTAGGGTGAAAAACTCACAGTTTTTCGGAAATTTTAGAAGGGGGAGGAGTTAGGGACGAATAGGATAGGGTTGCAAATACTCTTGAAATGGGTCTAACAAGCACAAAGGGGTAACAGGAATGGGATGACTGGATTTTGAGAGAATCAAGATGAGCAAAACAGGCTTAGACAGTTGGTGGACAGAGGCTTAGACAGAAAATAATGTACATTTGTGAACTTACATCATAAACTTCATCTTGCCAGGAAACATCTTCATTCACATGTTGTTGTTGGGAGAATATCTTTATGCTTGAGTGATTTTGCAAAAGTTTTTGTTGAACAAGATCAGCAACATCTTGATCCTTGGGACTATATGATAGATACACATCATAGTTTATAGGATGCTCCTGTTGAAGAACTTAGATTTCAGCAATTGATTAAAACTGATCATTTCTCAACAATTGCTGAATTATGCAATAACTTGTTAAATTTGAAAAAAATAGTCAATTACTTTTTTTACTAACATTGATACTAACTAATTTTACTAATTGTTAATTTTACTAACATTGAAAATTTGTTTTCAATTCCTCATCTTAAAACATAAAAGAGCTATAGATGCACTGGAAAAAAATTACAATACCCCTTGTGTGCTACTACAAAATGGTGAGGTCATTTACATTGGCAAGCAAAAATGATTGCTTTGTCATTAAAAATGCAGACATATGAAAATAAGGAACTGGCTAGTCAAATTAGGAAACAGACATTATGTGCATATTTTGATATTTTTAATAAGGATTAAGAGAATGTTTCAGCACCTACAAGAACATCAAATAATCACATTGAGCCTCTTAACACGCTAATACAATTGAAATATAACAATCCATTGACACATGAATGAAATGAAGGACAATGCCATAAAATCACAACCTTTGGCTCTGCTTTCTCTTGCATAAATATCCTACTCCACTGCATTTTTAAATCTCTGAAATAACTAAGAAGAGGGTGCTGAGAAATTTCACTTTCATATCGAGCCAAAATAACAATCTTTAGTATCTTGAGGGGCAAACCGACTTGCATCCAGTGTATTGCAGCTTCCACCATCAGACGTAACATAGTCTCATGTGAATAATCCTTCAAATGATGAATAAATAAATATCAAGCTTGATTCCAGCAAAAGCTAGGAAACAATACATTTTATCAAAAAAAACTCTCCAAATTATCAGCTACTGTATAGTTTAATGAGTAAAACTTTATTATGGATTTTTTTCAGTTTTGCCTTACCACATTTCTTTCTTAAACTCTACAGGTGAGGGTATCCTTAGTTTGTAACCAAAGTGTTTGCAATGGGGGGAAATGCTGGTACTGATGGAATTATAAGCACTTATTGATAGATATGAAAGCATAATTAAGATAGTGTACCTTATTTGATGAAGTGAGTAGTGGCGTCATGACTTTGATGTCATTATTCTTGCAAATAGATACCAAGGCTTTAAAGGCATCCTTTACAATTACAGGAGACCGCACTTGTCTTTTGAAACAACCTTCAAAGCATAGGATTCTTCCAAAACTGCAATCATCTGGCAAAGGCTTGGACCACCAACAAGAAAGCAAGCGTCTTAAGTCCTCTTCTTTATCCTTTGCAAGGTCCTCAACACTTATACCCAAATCAGTGTAGAGTGCACCAATTACGGAAGCAGGATTTGGTGCATAGATATCTGTATTTAGAGTGATAAGGGAAATTAAAATATATTTCATAAAATCCTGATGACGAAGAAAGCAAAATTGCTGATGTAAAGATCTCACAAAGAAAATCTATATATCTGTGTATCAATTTATCTATATATCAGGCTGCATGTGAAACCTGTAATTCAAACTCTAGTTACCTGCCGAATATTGTACAGAGATACTAGACCAGGCAGAGAATAGGGGAATGGTCAGCCGAGAGCGAAATTTATGGGACCAAGTGCTTTTGGTCAATTGGAGGGTGCTGATTTCAAAATTGGATGTTATATTTGAACCCAATTATGAACATTATCATTAAACATATATTACCACCTTGCATCTCACTATTGTGTTTTTCGTATGACCAATTAACATATCTTATTATACTAACCCTATATTATCTTGATATTCCTCCTTTTTATTTTATTTTTCATCCACATTCTTCTTTTGAAATCGATCACCTACACCTATACACATCAAATCGGTCATATGACCTAGATAGCTCCTTGTGAGTTCTTTTCATATGTCCGACAGCAAATATACCAAACTTCGAACTATCTACTGTATGTAGTTTTTCTTTTTTGTAAAAAAAAATTGTTATTTGTGGTTCAAGTATTAATAGAAATGTAGTAGTTAATTATTGCTGTGAATGAAATGTTTTGAGTTTATTGCGATTTTCGGGGCCCATCAGCCTCTTTCCATGTTTGAAGTATTGTTTTTGTGCATAATGAGGTAATTAATGAGAAAACCGTTTAAATTGAAATGAGTTATGAGCCATGATCTTAAAAGATATCTTAAAAAATGTGGCCAATGTCTTAAAAAATGTCATGTATGTCAATGTCTACGATATTATTATCCTAAATGATCAAAACATTCATAGCTCAACCATGGATAACAACGGTTTTACCATGGTTGGCAATGGTACTTCATGCATCTTTGACCATGGTCAACAACCATGGTTGAGCAATGGTTGCACTGGTAACAATATTTGAAAATTTTAAGACTGCTTTTAAAGCTCTAATTGTAAAATTCTACAAGCTGGAGGCTTTCTATCATTGTGCTGCTTAAAGACAATAAGAAATTAATTTATACACCTATTCTGTCTTTATTTATACCCATGGTTTAAAAATGGTTAACCATTGTTCTTAGTAGCAAGAGGAATCCAAAAATTATATGTTTTCTTGGTAAACAAAACTGGCTCTTCACATTATAGAGTGTCTTGGAAATAAATATTTATGGAAATAATATTTGAAAACTGAATATTCAGTAGAAAAGGGTTTGGCGCTTTGCTATTGCAGTTTCGCACCTCCTCTCAGTAACCATACATCATATATATCAATACTTTATACCAATCGATAGCTCTTAATAAGGCCATTAATATGGTATACAGTTTGATATAATTTGCCAAAGAGGAAGAGGAACGACATGCCTGGAAATGCAGAAACCATCAAAACATCGACCTTCTCTTTCTTCTCAAGCTTTGTAACACTCCCAAAACAAAGCTGTATTTCACATTCTCCATGACTCGTGTCAACTTCAAGTCTATCTACCACAGCTAATGACTTCAGCTGGCTCATTTTGGAGTTTGCAATGAAAAAACCCGTGGACAAACTGTTATTTTCATGACATACTGTAAGCGTTGGACCATAAAACAAGGGGTAACAACAGCAACAATGCTTCTCTCGAGGAGGATGATGATTGCTGTTTTGATGTTTACCAACGTTGGAGAGGAATGGGAAAGGAACGTCACTTCCGGCCACCAAGAGCCACAGATTATTGTGCCCCAGCTTACCGAAAGCAATAACCCGAAAAATGCATCTTTAATTTTCTTACTCGGGAATAAAATACAAATAAAAAATGAAGGGCAAAAGCTCCATCAGAAAAACATGTCATAGACATCAGAAGGTCAGTCATGAGGCTACGTTCCCACATCATCAAGAGCGAGTTAGGCCGTTGGTACATCGGCGCAAATCATGCCACAAAACACCGTCAGAAATAGGAAACAAAAACAGTCTCAAGCAAATTAGTTAAAGGTCAAAAGCCCCTCGTGAAACTAACTCTGATTATATTTCATGTAACCATCATAAAATGAAGTACGGTGAAGCAATTTACAACACTGATAAGGAGTACAGGCTAGGGGAAAGGCTAGGGATACAGGGAAGCTTATCTTTCGTACTTCCGAAAAGCTTTTGACAGGGTTTGGCATACGGTACTTTGGGACATCACGGGAAAGTGAAGGAATAACATCGGTGAAGGGATAACATCCTTGATCCAGAAATTGTATGAAGGTTCAAGATCCAAGGTATTAGTTGGTGATCACTACAGTGAATGGTTTAAAACCAACCTTGGTGAAAGACAAGGTTATTTGCTATCACCAGCCTTGTTTAATCTGTTCTTGGAAAGAATTGTGACAGATGCACTGGATGATAATGAAGGAGGTGTCAAATGTGCCAGAAGATGGATATTAGACCTGCGGTTTGCAGATGGCAGTGATCTGATGGTGGAGAGTGGAAATGGTCTTAGAGAAATCACAGGCCAGAAGTTGCTGCAAAGAGACTTAGTATGGAGATCAGCACAGAGAAGAGCAAAGTGATGGCTCTTGGAAAAGAAGAAAACATTGATGGACAAGTTATGAATGTGAGAGTGGATGGAGTAAAGCTGGGCCAAGGAAGTTCGTAGGAAAATGGATGTACGTAATGCATTGTTTAGCTTTCGCAGTAGGGATATGATTTGTATTTCACATGTTAGTAAGAGATAACTTCAAATAAAGATAGTTTAATTACCAGCGGGTACCTATTTGCTTATGAGCACAGGGTAATTGCCTCCTTGCCCCCTTTCGGTGGGCCTGTGTACCCCTTTATAGGGTTTCTTTTTGTAACATCAAGGAAAGCTTTCAAAAGTATATTGAGGCAAAAATTCTGTTGAATGGATTTACATTAAGATAACAAAGGCAGGAAACAAAACATAGATCGTAGAAAAATAAAAAACACCAAACCAAGATAAATTATTTTATCTTGATCAAACTAACTGCTGTTTTTGAATCTATACAATGAAAGAAAAATCAGTTTCTTTTAAATAAATTTCCTTCGTAGCCTATTTTGTTTTACATCAGTAACTGTGAATCCATTATTGGGGGAAACTAAGAATTCACCTTCGGATGGGTAGGCAGATAAACTTTCCACAGCCAGGGCAACGGTCACCTCTAGAATAAACATAGTCCCAGGCTTCTTCTTCAAAAAGCTCTCGGCCACCTTCTTATTCTTGGTAGTAGAAGTAAACTGCTGGAACATTATTTTTGAACCAATTTCTACTGCGAACTCCGCCGTGCATGCTCGATAAACTAGAAAAGGTGCATCATAAATGGCTGCTTTTGATGCCACAGCTTTATGCAAAAGTAACCATAAACCTTTGTATTGAAAGTTTTCCCAAACAAAAAAATTAGTAACTTCGCGACTGTCAATATTGAAATACCGATACAGGTCAGGCTTTTCCAAGGTATATGCGAATACAGCAATTTGACAATGAGCGGAAAGAAAGGCAGTTTTATCACCAGGCTTGATATGGCGTTTCTCCAGCTCATTTTTTGCCTTCTCCCAAGCTTCGTTTAATAGGTCGTTTTCGCGTCTATCACATTTTAACATCTGTACAGCCTCTTCCTCGGTCTTTTGTAAGACATTTCCAAAGCCTATTGCTTTGGAGAAAGCTTTCTTCTGCACTGTTGCAGCATCTTCAATTCTGATCGCATCTTTGCTGAATTCAACAAATCTGTCCTGTCGAAAAGCCATCTAGCAAAAAGTTTCAGATTTATGGATTTGCAGTTGCTATAGAAAAATCTTACAAACAGGCATTTAGGACAATATTAAATAAAACAATTATATGAATGAACAAGAAGGCATGCTGGATATCTTTTTTCTGATGCTAATTGATTTTGATATGTTAAAGACATTGAGTCATGAAAAAGGCATTGTGCCTAGCACTGGCAACATCATTTTTTAATTACTTCATAACTATAGGCGAAATTTGTTGTCTGGAAGAAGTTACATCTTTCCGTATATTTTTTGTACAAAGACCCCCGTTTGCATATAAAGACCCCATCTAATGTTTTCAAATGTTCCTCCGGAATTTTATGGATAGTTAGTTTTGTACAATACAGCAAACTCCAAGGCAGAGAATATAAATTTCCTGTTCTGTTTCCCAGGTTTTTCTGCCAGAAGAACCTCAAAAGGGCCTAGACTGAATTTCTATCTGGGAGCCTGACAAAGAAGACACAGCGATATACAGGATAGAAAAGCATTTAAATTCACCATAAAACAGGTTTATTCGATATCATACTACTAATAAGAATATTTGTTTACCTTGTGGTTAAACTTTCTTGCTTGCTGAGAGCGGAAAATCGTTCTTTCACTCAAAAACAATGCTCGAAAGGCTTTCAACAAAACAACAACCAAATTGCGCTAATGAAAAACGGCAAAGTAATCAGAAGGGTTAATAAGAATGCAGGATTGTGAGTCTTGTCCTTTTTCCTAGATCTATTTTGAGTCAAATTTCCCTCTTTCGTAACGTGTTTTCGTCAACTCTTTTAGACGTTTATATTACTTTCAGACCTTGAAGTGTTTTAATAATAATAATAATCTACATTTATACAGGATATTATGCTTGGTCAGCTTGCTCAGAAGCTGATATCAGTCAAGGTCCTGTAAAAATTAATGTTAAAAAGAAAATTATAATTACAAATTACAATATCAAAATTAAAAATATCTAAAAATTAGAAGTTAAAATTCACTGTCAAGCTGATCGTATTGGTAAAGCCTTAGATACCAATACTTTGTTAAATTTTTAATTTCGTAAAGCCTTAGACAGTGCTATCACTTCAGCGAGGAATGATTTGATTTCATTTGATTTAATTCAAATTCTGCTACAATACAACAACTTGTTATATACGTTATAATTAAATCAATTGTAGAACACAACAACAACAATAACGTTGTTCAAAACACAAGTCAAAGCAAAGTTCTTCAAGGAGGAGGCAAGACTTCAATTATCGAGTTTTGTAATACTGCCAAAATTTAAGTGAATTTCACATGGCCCATGGTTCGTCTCGACTTGAATTTTTTCTTTGAGCAGCAAGGCAGCCATATTGCGCGCCTAGCTCGATAGCATTTAAAGTGCCCCCTTCGACAGAAATCTCTAATAAAAAATATTTGTTTATCTTGTTCTGAAACTTTCTTGCTAACCGAAAGCGGAAAATCGTTCTTTCATTCAAAAACAATGCTCGAAAGACTTTCAGCAATGCAGGATTGCGAGTCTTGTCCTTTTTCCTAGATCAATTTCGAGTCAAATTTTCCCCTTTCATAACGTGTTTTCGCCAACTCTTTCAAAGTTTATATTACTTTCAGATTTTGAAATGTTTTAGTTTTGAAAAGCCTTAGAAAGTGCTATCACTTCAGCGAGGAATGATTTGATTTCATTTGATTTAATTCAAATTCTGCCACAATACAGCAACTTGTTACATAAGTTATAATAAATCAATTACAGAAAACAACAACAACAATAACGTTATTAAAAACACAAATCGAAGCAAAATTCTTCAAGGAGGAGGCAAAACTCTATAACTAAAGAGTGAAGGCATCCTTTTTGTTGCAGCGATCTATATATTCATCAATAAAATTGTGTCTCGTTGAATGGAAATGCTCTATGGACCAAACAACCAATTTTGCAAAGTTCAGTGATTTTCAAACAGTTTCTAGATTGTAAATTTTCAAACATTTTTTTAATTAAAAATTTATATGTAGATCTGATTTCAACTGGTAGATTGTTCATTCTAAGTAATTTTTAAGTTTTTAAAGATAGGAAGAGTAGAATGTAAAATATAAGGTGTCTGTTTGAAATCGCTCTCTGTTAACCATTTGTAACACAGTTTCAAACATAAAATACATAAAATACCCAAATCAGTGTAGAGTGCACCAATTACGGAAGCAGGATTTGGTGCATAGATATCTGTATTTAGAGTGATAAGGGAAATTAAAATTTATTTCATAAAATCCTGATGATGAAGAAAGCAAAATTGCTGATGTAAAGATCTCACAAAGAAAATCTATATATCTGTGTATCAATTTATCTATATATCAGGCTGCATGTGAAACCTGTAATTCAAACTCTAGTTACCTGCCGAATATTGTACAGAGATACTAGACCAGGCAGAGAATAGGGGAATGGTCAACCGAGAGCAAAATTTATGGGACCAAGTGCTTTTGGTCAATTGGAGGGTGCTGATTTCAAAATTGGATGTTATATTTGAACCCAATTATGAACATTATCATTAAACATATATTACCACCTTGCATCTCACTATTGGGTTTTTCTGATAACCAATTAACATATCTTATTATACTAACCCTATATTATCTTGATATTCCTCCTTTTTATTTTATTTTTCATTCACATTCTTCTTTTGAAATCGATCACCTACACCTATACACATCAAATCGGGCATATGACCTAGATAGCTCCTTGTGAGTTCTTTTCATATGTCCGACAGCAAATATACCAAACATCTACTGTATGTAGTTTTTCTTTTTTGTAAAAAAAATTGTTATTTGTGGTTCAAGTATTAATAGAAATGTAGTAGTTAATTATTGCTGTGAATGAAATGTTTTGAGTTTATTGTGATTTTCGGGGCCCATCAGCCTCTTTCCATGTTTGAAGTATTGTTTTTGTGCATAATGAGGTAATTAATGAGAAAATCGTTTAAATGGAAATGAGTTATGAGCCATGATCTTAAAAGATATCTTAAAAAATGTGGCCAATGTCTTAAAAAATGTCATGTATGTCAATGTCTACGATATTATTATCCTGAATGATCAAAACATTCATAGCTCAACCATGGATAACAACGGTTTTACCATGGTTGGCAATGGTACTATTTATGCATCTTTGACCATGGTCAACAACCATGGTTGAGCAATGGTTGCACTGGTAACAATATTTGAAAATTTTAAGACTGCTTTTAAAGCTCTAATTGTAAAATTCTACAAGCTTGAGACACTCTATCATTGTGCTGCTTAAAGGCAAAAAGAAATCAATTTATACACCTGTTCTGTCTTTATTGATAACCATGGTTTAAAAATGGTTAACCATTGTTCTTTGTAGCAAGATGAATTTCAAAATTATATGTTTTCTTGGTAAACAAAACTGGCTCTTCGCATTATAGAGTGTCTTGGAAATTAATATTTATGGAAATAATATTTGAAAACTGAATATTCAGTAGAAAAGGGTTTGGCGCTTTGCTATTGCAGTTTCGCACCTCTCAGTAACCATACATCATATATATCAATACTTTATACCAATCGATAGCTCTTAATAAGGCCATTAATATGGTATACAGTTTGATATAATTTGCCAAAGAGGAAGAGGAACGACATGCCTGGAAACGCAGAAACCATCAAAACATCGACTTTCTCTTTCTTCTCAAGCTTTGTAACACTCCCAAAACAAAGCTGTATTTCACATTCTCCGTGACTCGTGTCAACTTCAAGTCTATCTACCACAGCTAATGACTTCAGCTGGCTCATTTTGGAGTTTGCAATGAAAAAACCCGTGGACAAACTGTTATTTTCATGACATACTGTAAGCGTTGGACCATAAAACAAGGGGTAACAACAGCAACAATGCTTCTCTCGAGGAGGATGATGATTGCTGTTTTGATGTTTACCAATGTTGGAGAGGAATGGGAAAGGAACGTCACTTCCGGCCACCAAGAGCCACAGATTATAGTGCCCCAGCTTACCGAAAGCAATAACCCGAAAAATGCATCTTTAATTTTCTTACTCGGGAATAAAATACAAATAAAAAATGAAGGGCAAAAGCTCCGTCAGAAAAACATGTCATAGACATCAGAAGGTCAGTCATGAGGCTACGTTCCCACATCATCAAGAGCGAGTTAGGCCGTTGGTACATCGGCGCAAATCGCGCAACCTACCATAAACCTCCAACAGAAAAGGGGTCACTTAGGGAAGTTACACAATAACCTCAATATTTGATTGATGATTGAGAGAGAATGGACAAGAAAAGCCTCTTTTCCTCACTAATAGCCTATGCACCAGTTCTACCTAGTAGCATCAAAAAGCGCTAAACTACAGTCAATGGTTTAAAACCAACCTTGGTCTAAGACAAGGTTATTTGCTATCACCAGCCTTGTTTAATCTGTTCTTGGAAAGAATTGTGACAGATGCACTGGATGATAATGAAGGAGGTGTCAAATGTGCCAGAAGATGGATATTAGACCTGCGGTTTGCAGATGGCAGTGATCTGATGGTGGAGAGTGGAAATGGTCTTAGAGAAATCACAGGCCAGAAGTTGCTGCAAAGAAACTTAGTATGGAGATCAGCACAGAGAAGAGCAAAGTGATGGCTCTTGGAAAAGAAGAAAACATTGATGGACAAGTTATGAATGTGAGAGTGGATGGAGTAAAGCTGGGCCAAGGAAGTTCGTAGGAGAATGGATGTACGTAATGCATTGTTTAGCTTTCGCAGTAGGGATATGATTTGTATTTCACGTGTTAGTAAGAGATAACTTCAAATAAAGATAGTTTAATTACCAGCGGGTACCTATTTGCTTATGAGCACAGGGTAATTGCCTCCTTGCCCCCTTTCGGTGGGCCTGTGTACCCCTTTATAGGGTTTCTTTCTGTAACATCAAGGAAAGCTTTCAAAAGTATATTGAGGCAAAAATTCTGTTGAATGGATCTACATTAAGATAACAAAGGCAGGAAACAAAACATAGATCG